ATCTTATTTGTCAAAGGTAATGGTCCTATAAAATGAATGTGAAAAGTGCTCAAAGGGATACAGTAGAATTCCAGAAATCCGCAAAGCTTGGAACCGCAAAGCTTGGGAGGTTGTGCGGATTTTAGGATTATGCAGATTTCAGGACAGAAATGATAAATCATAATATTCAGACTAAAAGTGCAAAATAAATAAGGCGTATTAGATACATTTAATTAAATTATTATATACATTATTGCAATAACTTATTATATGCATTAAATTATTATTACATATATAAGTTTGATTACTGTATTTGACGGCATATAAGATGTACTTTTTTTCCTAAATTTGGTGTCAAAAAAGTTACCTGCGTCTTATACGTGAAGGACACAGGTTAACTTTCAATACTGAATGCTATTTTTAGCCCAGATAAAGGTCTAGACACACATAACTTTTTCTACATCTGTCATAATTATTTTGCGCATGCGTGAAATATCTGTCGCCAAAAAGAAAGCGCCAAAGCTTGAAGCTGATGTTGAAGTTCAAACAGGTTCGACGGTCACATTACGTCTATGGAGCTTTTCCTTCTTTACATAGACTTTCTTTGACTCAGTCTACACACATGTTGGTATCGGTGCTACTGTGTATAAACGTGTCGGTATCGGTGCTTAAAACTATTTGTTTTAAAAAAATACCCTAGAAAATATGACTACAGGAAACAAGAGATTAAGCTAAACAATTCAGTATAAACTAGGAGCGTTTAAACTATGCCAAAGTGAATGTTTCTGCATTGTTTCTGCTTTATTTTGTATTATGTTTGATTGCTTGCCGTTTATTCATTTATTCATTTATTCATTATTGAAATTTACATATGTTCAAAACAGCTTGCCGTTTGTTAATTTTCCTTAATAAAAGTATGTTTGGTAATTGCATTCAATGATTGTTTCGGACTATTGAAATTTTTTTTCCTTGTGTATGGCTTTCTAAATAAGGGTGCGTCTTATATGCCCTCAAATACGATATATTATTCATTGTATTATATATACACAGCATCGAGGTTTGCCGATTTTGCCTCATGCAAAGATTTCCGGTTTCGGATTCTGGTGTTAGAATCACAGTTGCTGTAAAATTTCAACAGCTTTTCTTTATTTTTCCGTATATCATACACAATCATATCACAATTCCGTATGATTCTGCTATAAACCAAGGAGTAGCACCTGTCTCCATCTTTTGAAGAATTTGCACTTTTTGCATTACCGTCAATGCAACTTGTTTACATTTTTCAATGTTACAAGCAATAAAATCATGAGTGTGTTTCTAATCTGTAATTGTATTAAAAAGGGCTGAAATAAAAAAATATTCTTAATTTATCCACAAAATATCCGAATAAAAAAAAAAAAGGCAGCTTTAAGTAATCTCGTGAAATAACAAAGCTCAGAAAATACAACAACTTGAATCGTGAACTTGAAAGAAGAGTTGAGTGAATCGTCTGCTTTCTTACCTTGATGCAGATTAGAGGAGAAAGAACTTTTATCATGATGTCAATAATTTGATATTTCCGTTATGACTAATTATTATTTGGTAATTATGACGTCATTATTTGTAAGTATTTTTTCTCTGATATTTCATACTCAATGTTGCGGTTTCTGGAACCTATAAACTGAATGTTTATATTTTGAGAGGCAATGCGGATTTCAGGTCGGCAGATTTACGGTACTTGACTGTACTATCTTTTGGAATGGGATTTAGCAAACTTTCACCCTTACCTCGTATTTTGTCACATAAAATACTTTCTACACCAGGGGTTCCCAAGCTTTTTGTTCCTAAGAGCACATTCTAGTACATCTGTTGGCCCGCTGGCATCATTTACATTTTTAAGGTGAATTTATATTTGGATAGAGTACATGTGCATAAAAGAGGAGGTCAGTTGCATTTTGCTTTATGCTGGTATCTGTGTTGGACGGAATTTCTATTTCATTAAAAATGAGAAAACTTATAACTCGCATAGAATTTAAAACAAACTAAAACATTTTTATTGTGATCACAAAGCAATGGGCATGTGTTAAATGATCGGCGGGCGACATAGTGCCTGCGAGTTGAGAACCCGTGCTCTATACAGTGCTCTATACAGTTTGCGATTACTTGTTCAGTTTTGTCTTCTAATGTTAGGAATAGAAAAGTCCATTTTCAGCAGATCTTCCATTTTAGACACTGCAAAGTCCCTTGTTGTGGATACTACATATGATTTCTAGTTCCAATGCTTCAGGTACCACAAGTAATTCGTGACCACTGTCAAATTTGTATAATACGTTATTTTTAACTGTGTACTCTTCCTTGAATCTTTGCTCGACTAAGGATTGTTATAACTGGAGATGCTCATTAACTTCTCTGCACAGCTACGATTTTGGCAGTAACTTCTCTCTGAGAATAGGTAACTATCATAACACTCTTTTTACTAAACATGTCTGCGTGCTTTTATTAGCGGCCCAGATCTGTGAACGATTCCATAGTCCAATTCTGCTAAAAGTAACGCCCATCTCGCCGCTTTAGGAATTAAATATTTCTTGAATATGGTCTTCTGGAAGGCATTGCAATAGTAATAATTCATTGCAATAGAAATTACCTTTTGGGATTTATTAGATCCCAAAAGGTAATTTCTGAATTTCTTTAGAGTTTCCATTATAGCTAAAAGTTTGAGATCGTAATCATATAGCTTCTCTTGTTGGATGTTTGCGCTTTACTTGTGAAATAAATGGGGTGTAACTGTCAGTCATCGGACTTTTATAGCAAAACAAGGCTGAAACCACAACTGCTTGCGTCTGTATGCAGTTCTAGTGGTGCTGCTTGTTTGAAAATCTGAAGAACAGGGCTTGTCGATAAAAGTTCTTTCAATTTGCTAAATGCCTCTTTTTGTTGAGTCCCAAATTTGAATTTCACTCTGTTGTGAAGGTCATTTAGTTGTTTGGCTATTTTCAAATGGATGGCAATAAATTTTCTGGAATGTCTCATAAGACCCAAGAAACTCTGAATTTGCTTAAGGTTTTTGAGTTTCGAGAAATTTTGAATGGCTCTGTTTTTTTTTTTTTTTTCCAGAAGAGTGGCAAATTTTACCATCCTCAATAATATACCCAAGAAATTCTATTTTTCTTTTAAAAAAATGGTGTTTCCTAAAATTGATCACCAAACTGTATTCGTTGGCTACTTCTAAAACACGTTTTAATTTTTCTAAACTTTCTCATTTTGCACTGGAATAATAAAATCATCCATGTAAGTAACAACGGATCTAAACTGAAGGGCTCTCACGCCTATATCCATATAGAGCTTTCACACTTACCTCGTGTTTGAGGTGTTTGTTTCACCCTTACCTCATGTGTACAACTTGTATTCAAGTTGGACTATGAATATGGATGGTGTATGGATCTTCATATCAATCAGCATTACTAAAACTTGATCCTGTTCACCGTCGGGCATTATGCAATTGTTCTGAGCTCTCTGAACATCACCCCTGCAGAGCTTGTACATAGATTACTCTGAGACTTCAGTTAAGGTGTGAACAGCTGTCTCTTTGCTATTATTTAATATATTAGCTAAGCCTAAACATCCTGTATGATCGCTTGTACTATATATATGATTCAGTTGATCTTTTCCAAGCAAGACCTTCCTGTATTCCTACCTTTTTGAAAAGGTGTCGGTTATTGGTTGAGGAATACAACATCTCTGGGGTGAGTGTCCAAATGATAAAATATTTTCAAATTCCTTAAAGAATTGAATTTCTTAAAGGTTGTATTTGCAGCTCTTTTTGGATCACAGAAATGAGTACAGCAGGTATTTACCCGTATTTACAGAAGATTCGAAAACTTGTGACCATGTTGGTGGTGCCTTTTTGATCAGAAATCATATTAAAAGGTCTCAGATTGTTCAAGCCTTGTTTTGTTTTTGCATCTGAATTAGCTGCTGCTTACTGGGCTGTTTCTTTCATTTCAAGGCAGCACCATAGAAGATTTATTATAGATACGGACTCACTTAGTGCCTTAAGTTCACTGCAGAGTTTTTCTGGAAACAACAATTTATCTGTTTTTGAAGTTCTAAACTTAAATAGCATCCTAAAGAGTAAAGGTCATGATGTTCTTTGTTTCTGGGTGCCCTGACACATTGGAATAAAGGGAAAAGAATGCCTTGGAAGTATCTAGCAGACCTGTTCCCTTTTTAGACACAAGATCTGATATTAGACAGAATTTTAAAGAAATGGCAGCTACTGGAGTGTTCAGGTTAATAATAAGACATTTTAAAACCTAGGGTGGAATGCTGAAAGAATGCAAGAAATGAGAAGAAAATATAAATCCATCACAGAAATGGTCACTCACGAATCACTCGCAATTACCTTCCAAAAGTAGTGAGTGAGCCACTGTATCCTAACTGTACTTGTGTTCTGTCTGTTCATTGTTTTTTTTAACACTGTGTCCATATTTTAACAGATTTTGATTAAAGCATTTTAATGATTGTGACTTGCCTCTTGACCGTATAATCGGAAAAGAGATCAATACCAATTTATTTGAATGCTTGAAAGAAATGGGTCTGTATTATTTAATTTCATTTATTTTTTGTGTTGTGGGCTTTTATTTTAATACTGTGTGTTTCAATGTGTCTTATAGTTTTACCGCTATGTTACATATGAATTCTGTTAACTAATTTTTATGTCCTTATTCATCTTATCACTTGGTCAACATTTTATCACCTCATTTGATTTTATATTGAATAGTTTTTTAATAATCTATCATGTGCATGATGCAAATAACTTCTCAGGTTATGCACCCAGAAAATCTACTACTACTTCACTTTTTATTTAAATAATTTAAATAAGCATTAATAATTTATGTAAAAAATTATTGAATTTTTATTTTTTGAAGAATGTCCCAAAAATAAATATTGAGTGTTTATTGCTGTGTATGATTATGAATGATATTGAGATTTTTTATTTTCTTTGCAGTTTTTCCTGTAATTGTTATATGTTTGCATTTTAGCCTTCAACTGGAATATCACTAAATGAATTTCGTATGAGGTGGACGCTTTGGCACGAAGAATGTAAAGCAAGGCTTCAGAGAGGTGAATTCTCTTCCGAAGTTGGTCTGGAAGAAATATGCAAAGTAAGATATATTATATTTTCTGTAGATGCTTTCTTTGAAGTAGTAGTTATTTAAACAAATTTCTTTTATTGTAAAAGTAAATTATAGTTTTTTCAATTGACTTTGTCTAAAGTGCTTACGCAGAGCTTACATTTGCCTATACCCAAATCATCTTAATGTTCTGCTTCATTCTGAATTTAACTATGTAGATGTCAGGACTATGTGTGAGTGAGTGCTACATAGTTTAAGAAAGGAAAATTCAGATTTGCAGATTATGAGGTGCACCTGTCACCTCTTAAATTTAGCAGCTGAAAAAGGGGCAGCTTCTTTACGAGTAAATGTGGATGAACACATTGTTGATATTTATTATTATCTTGAAAGGAGTTCTAAAAGGAAGGAAAAATTGAAACCGTTCCCAACAGCTGCATAATACTGAAATGAGAAAAATTTTGAAATGTGTGTACACGCTGACTGTCTTTAAAGAAATGCTTATCTAGAATCCTCAATTAATGGAACCCACTTCTTGCATTTTTTAAAGAAGTAAATGCTTCGAGAGTTAAGGTAAAAGGCTGTATTGAAAATTATAAAATACCTAAAGCATACCTGCCAACTTTTATGAATTTTTCATAATTTTTACGAAAATGCGTTTTTCTTTACGATTTTACGATCGTAATCTATTTTTTACGATTTTTTTTCCTTTTTCAAGTGTTTTTAGTGATTTTTTTCGAAATTTTAGAATTTTTCGCCAATTCAGCGATTTTTGCCAATTGTATCGTGTTTTACTACTAACTACCGACTACTTCGAATCCAGTAACCTGCGGTTTCTCCCAACTCGCCGCTTAACCAACCAATCCAATGTGCTGAACTTGTTTCTCCCACTCTTTTCTTTGTGGGCGCCAGATTATTTTTTCGCGTTCCCTTCAGCAGCAAGGGAATTACTCAGCTCGGACTCAGCAAGCGTGGATTGTCGCATTCTGTTTTTTTTTTTTTTTTTTGCACATGCTACGAATTTTCTTAATACGTCGTTGTTACGAAATGCGTTAAAAAAAACGTATTCTGAATATTTTCGGCCTGCCTACAAAGCCGAATTTCCAACAATTAAAGAATCCTTCAAAGGAAATAACTATGCATTTTGCAACGTGTGTGACTTCATAATAAGTCACGGTGGAAGAAGCAACATTGTGAAGCATGTTAAGTCTAAAAAGCATGAAGTTGATGCTTCGGCTTCGACAACGTCAAAGAAAGTGGATGATTTTTTTTCAAATTCGGCTACGAATTCGGATGCCGATGTCATTCTACACAGTAATGCTGAGTGCGAGAGAGTCTTCAGTGTTGTGAAGAAAGACAAAACTATGTTTCGTTCTTCAATTTCACCAAAAACTCTAGAAAGCATTTTAATTGCTAAATGTTATGAGGAAACTAATTGTTATGACAGGAAATTTTCCAAAGAATTTTTGGCTAAAGCCAAAAGATGCACTCTAAATTCATTGCAATAATTTTTTTGTGTAACATTAAGTTCTTGTTTTATGTTTCCTAATAAATTTTTTTAGTTACTACTTAATTGAGATTTACTAATGTAAGTACAATTTTCTTTTTCTATTTGTATAAATTGTTATTTTTTTAATGTCAAATCTTCGTGTTCTTCTGAATTTTGGAGAAATCTTCTGAATTTTTATCTTTAGAGGTTGGCAGGTATGCCTAAAGTAAATGGAGATGTAGTTACTACTTCCATTTTTAAAAATAGGTTTGAGAAAAATAAAGTAATTTCTGCACCATTCAGCAATTAAACTGGCAGTTCTCAAAATAATATTGCAAAATATAAGCATAAAACTCATACAAATTTCTATCAAAATAAAAAAATTGCTCAACACATGAAACATTTTCCAATTACTGTAAGTTTATCTTGTGAAGAACGAATATTTATGTTTATTTCTTCGGACCTTAACAAAGCTTTTTGCTTTATTTTACAATTCATTTTGCCATCATTCGATGTTCTTAAGACAGTTATACAAAGCAGAATTCCATTAATTCATGTTTTGCAATCAATGCTTTATGATCTGTTTAAAGACATTTTATCAAAGTTTGTAAAACCAGTGTGTGTTTTGTCTTCTAATTCTATATATGATGTGATTTATAATGAACTAGAAAATCAGGAGAAAAATTATTTGGTAATAGGAGCTGCAACTACAAAAGTAGTGGAAGAACTTTCAGAAGAACACAAAAATAAGTTTTATCTTCATGTTAGATATTACTACGGATAATCCCTTCAGCAGGTGAAAAGTGTCATGCTGCCCTCCTAGAGGAAGTACGTCATCAGATGACAACCATAACGTGGTCTATCATAATAAGCTGTTTCTTTCCTTTTTGGCATTAAGGCTGTTCTCTGAACAATATCCGTTACTTCTTTCGAGTATGTGATTACATACTACATAAATTTTCAGTCAATGATGAAGTGATTTTATATGCTCACGTTGCTGATGTTTCTGCTCTAGCAAATGCATCTTTTTCTGATATAAGGTACTTTTTGAACAGATTTCCTGTGTTACTTCATTTAGTCATGAAAGATTATGATATTAGTGTTGCCACTGATAAATACTGCAGTCACAATTTTGCAGTTTAGAAAACTTGGATGAAGTTATAAAATCAACTAGGACTGACACCCAGTGGAGTTGTAATTGGAAAACTGAAAGGTGCTGATAGAATTTTAAAATATGGTGAACTGTCTAGAATTATGTTGGCCATTTTGACAATTGCCCATTTTAATGCAGAGTGTGAGTGGATTTCCAGTGTTGTTGCGAAAACGAGGACTAAATTTAGATCTAATATTAGTGATGACACATTAGAAAAACTTTTCTTAGCGAAAGCAGGCCTTCGTGGCAATTGTTATGAACAAAATTATGAAGTTCCTTTCTTAACGAAAGCAAAATCTGTTCATAACATTTGTACGAAAACTGATTAAAGTGTCTTTTTTTTTTTTTTTTTTTTTTTTTGTTGTTGTTTTCTTAAACAATGCAAGTAATAAAAATGTTTTTTATGTGTAAGGTATTTTTGTGTTGCTTGCATTTAAGAATTAGTAACTATTTAAAGTTAATTCATTATTAAAAACTATATTTTTATCATTTAAAGTCTTTTTAACATTATGAAAATTCTCCTGATTTCTTTAAAAATCTCCGGATTTTTTAGTGTCATAGGTTGGCAAGTATGCAGGTGGCATCGAGTGTGGGCCCTAGACAAAGGCCTTAAGTATATGTGGAAGTTCAATATTTATTCAGGGCTCAGATTAGTTTGAAGTATGTGTGAGAAATAAACATAGGTATAGTAAATAACTAAACTAATACAATTCAGGCTTAATTCAGTACGCAATAGGAGCAAGACAAAAAGCGAAACAACTTGGCTTTCGTCACTAATCTTGTGATACGCAGCCAATAATGTATAACGGATGCTATTAAGCTAGGTTAAAATTATCTTTACTGATTCTAAGGCATTTCAATTAATGTAGCAGACTGTGATGCTCCCTGATCTTCTAATTTGATTCAGCTTATTATTTTTTGCAGACTGTTATTATCGCGGCAATTTTTTAAAAACTAAGCTTGAACTTTCGATTATGTCAAAAGAGTTTCCAATTCTGGAGTTGCCAAAGGATCTACAAAGCGAAACAGTGTTCATTAAACAAAACGTGAAATTGCTGCAAAAAATGGATAAAGGCATATCCTTCTCAAAATTTTTCAAGGAATATGGCATTGGAAAGTCTACTGTATATGACATAAGAAAAAAGAAACTTTTTGAATTTTTTGTGGAAGCAACTTAAACAACTTACATTGAAAGAAATGTTCAATAAAGTAAACAAATAAATATTAAGCCTTTTTTTTTTTTTTTTTTAATTTTGATATAGCTGAAGTCCCGACGACGATGTAACAACTTACATTGAAAGAAATGTTCAATAAAGTAAACAAATAAATATTAAGCTTTTTTTTTTTTTTGTAAATTTTTGATATAGCTGAAGTCTCGACGAGTCCGGATTTTGGACTTTGTACTGTAGTAGCATTTAAACTGGCTTATATATTGAAAATGTATATTGCAAAATGTTTTCTTCTATTCAAAATGTTGCTCTTTTCATTTTATTTTCATCTTCAGAATATGCTAAATTAAAATCTCAGTTGCATCATTTTGTCTTGTATTTGTTATATAATTTATAAGTTTTCAGGTATAGGCATAGTTACATGAAGACAAAATGGCATGAACTAGTGTTTTTATTGATTTATTATAATTGCTGATGTTATATATCTAGTAAATTAAGTTATAATTTTAGCATTTCGTTATACAAGGCTGTCTGGAAAGTAATGTCGTACATTTTATTTTGAAGTGACTATGTTGCAGCATATTTTATTATTCACTGGCTCGGTGGTAGTGTTAGCTGACTGCTGAGCTAGTGCTTACTCAGTTGTTTCTGAGCTCTTAGAGGTGAAGGATGGGCAATTTTGCAAACCCCTTTTTCGTGTTTTGTATAACTTGTGATGCAGTGAGTGGGACAAACATCCTAGTAGAGTTTTGTGTGAAACTCGGGAAGTCTGCAATGGGAACTTATCCAGTGGTTAAACAGGCTTTTAAGACAATGAAGCCCATGCTGCACACAAGTCTTGTGTGTGAAAGAACTTTTGCAAACAGACTGTCAAATGAATGTTCATTTAGTGGCTGACATGTTCAATATTCTAAAACGAGATTGTGACCAAGTATTTGCACACGACAAAAGGGTATGGGAAGCTTATTGCCAAGAATCTTTGGCCAACAACCAAAAAATATAGTGGAAATTTGTGTTTTTTAACATAAAGGATATCATCCACTGGGAATTTCTGTACCTCTCGGGACAACTGTTAACTCTAAATTTCACATAGAAGACTATCTGTTCTGGTGGATCTTTGAAGTTCTGGTGGAGGACTACGTTTTTGAAAATTTGATGGCTCCAGGTACCATCATTTTTTCAAAGTGTGAGGAATATAGATACATACAAGTATATTCTTTATTAATTGGTTTAAAATAATACAGGGCGATTATACACATATACAGTTTTAAAAGTGGTACATCGTTTGTAGTTAACTGACACAAACTACCATAGCCCTTTTTGGCTAAAAAACAAGTACAAGTGATATTGGCACTGTGCCTCTACCATACTGGTTAATCATTACAGCACCACGTCCACCATTAACTAGATAGTCCACCATTAACTAGCCCCAGATATCAAGAGGGAGGGGGAGGCCACACTGGCACCTCACAGATTTAGTATGCATTGATCATATTTATAAATACAGTGTCTTATATATCGTTCAAGATACATATTACAAAATTTCTTATGGTGACCTTGATAACAATTATAATTACCCACACAAATTATAGTTACACATATTGTTACATTGAATAATACTTTGACAATATATGACTTGCTTAAAATATACCTTGAAGTACGTTTAGAATATGCATAGATATATCAAAAGCATGAGTTTTCGAGAAAACGCATCCGGTTTCACCCTGACAGTGTCACAGTGCTTTTTGCCATGAGTAGCTACCTGGTCAAATCTAATGCAGCTATGGTGCCCTAGTCACCCTATAGTCCCAACTTGGCTTGTTCAGACTTCTTTTATTTATTTTTTCCTGTCTGAAATCCCTTCTCAGAGGATATCATTACAGAATGATTGACGATGTGAAATCAGGTTGTGAAATAGCTTTAAATGCACTTCCAGAATAGGCCTTCACAACTTGGAAATCCTTCTAGCAAAGATGTATTGAGGTAGGTGGACAAAATTTTGAAGAATTTTGAGGTATTATGAAATTTTTGTATTTTGTTATTGTAATTTTTTTGTAATTTGTAACATTCTTTTTGGACACTTTTTGTATGTACATTCTCATACTATGCTTTTTCATTACTAAATGCTTTTGAAAATAATAATAGATACGGTTATTTGAAAATTTGTATGACAATTAACTGAGTCATAAGAATTATTATTTCTGCTTAAATGGTTTACACTACATGAATTTATTAAACAAGAAGTATTATATTCTCAAAATGTGTTTTTACTTTTGTTTCTTTTAATTTTCTCAATAATCATGAAATCTTCTTTCAGATTCTGTGTGGTGATGCTGATATGCTTACTACAAAAAGGTGAGTGCATTGTTTTATTCTTTATTGATATTTTTTGGGGCAAATTTACTTTTGTAAGGTTTATCTTTGTCTTTATTATTAATTTGTGTTTATTTTTCCAGCTACCTATGTGGAAATTGGTATCATCTTATGATATCTGTATTATTTTATACAGATCCATGTATAAATATTTCATCTCTTGGAGATACTGCCAGAGTATGTGCTATACATTAAATTTTAAATTATTAGGCTTTAAAAATATGTATTCTATAAGGAATGTTCTAAAATCGGTTTTAGAGAAAATTGTTGATGATATAATTTGTACTGTGCCAATAGATTGGACTGTTATTATTTAAAAATGATTTCTTATACTGAGTTGAGCAGTAAAAATGTGATCAAATAAGAGATTGTAACTACTAGGCTAGAAAATTATTTTGGGGTGCAATTCCTTTTGGGTTAATTTGGATGTGAAAGATGATCAAAATTGAATAGGAAAATAAAGCAGAAAACAGTTGCTTTTGCATGTTCAGATTTAGTTGTATTTTCAAAATTAAATAATAAGATTTATTATATAAACCCCATTCCATCACATATTCTCTCCCTAACTATTTAGTGCTAGGTTCTGAAAATTGAAATAACATGTGCAATTTTCTTATTTCTCAGAGCTTTCAAAGAATGGTTTTCCCTAAATTTTAAAATGTATTTATTCATGTAGTGATAATTGTTCATAGATCCTTAATAGTCTTATTGGAAACAATTTTTTATTTTTAAAATTCCTTAATTATAGTCCATATCGGCAAAATGCTCTCATTTTTACTTGTTTGACATTTCTTTCTGTTTTTCATGACTGCAGAATGTGAATGTGAATTAACCTTTTCGATTCATTGACAAATATGTATTTGATGGGTTAAAATTTGAATTTTTTCTACTTCTAAATAAGGCATGAGGGACACAAAGCGCAGCCTTAATGAAATATTAATGTTTTGAAACTCTTTCTTTTTTGAGAATCAAGAGTTCATAAAATATTACATATCAAAAACATGCTTTCCCATTTTATTATGCTGTATTAAATTTGGCAATTTGTCAACATTTTTGCAATAATTTAGGTATTTGTGAATTTTTCAACTTTCCCTCTTTTCATTCAGACATAATAAAATTGATAAGTATAATTTAAAAAATGATGATATATTAAAATTATAATTAAGAAATATCATTAAAATAAAATATTTTTATTTCCCCATGTCATATTGTTTGAAAAATAAATAGATAATAAATGCTATGAAATATAGTTTCTGTAGCGCTTTTTACGAAAATCTACTTTAGTGATTTTAAAATTAATTTCATTTTCCTTTATATTTTTTAGTTCCATCCCCTTGTAGTTATTCAAATGTATATCAGTTTTCTCTTAAAAGTCTACTTTACACTTTTTTTTTTTCTTTCAGAACCTTTATTATTCAAAAATCTTCTGGCTTTTTGCTCTTACAGAGTTGACAGGTTTTTTTTTTTTTTTTTAAATTATTTATTTGGAGGTTTAGAAGGATTTGAAAACAGGATATATAGACTTACAATTCCAGAAAATTGCATAAAAATGTGACCTTCCTAAATTCTAAAAAATTTGCCATCCCTTAATTTTATTGCTCATTCCTTCACCTACTTCTAAATATTCTGCCAAACTGGCTGTAATATGCAATTGACCTTATATGATTTTAGATTTATTCTCAATACTCATATTACTAAAAAAAGTAGTCTTTTCTATATATTCCAAATACATGCAGTTCTTTAGAAAACAGGAATCTTCAACTAAATCTGAAATTCTAAAATGAAGAAGTGTACTAGGAAGAAATTGATTACATAAAGAGAAAGAAAATTATTCTTCAAAGGCATATTATTAAAATATTAATAAATTGGGGATGAAGCAGAGACTAGTGGGAACATTGATTTTATTGAAAGAAAGTTACTTTTTGCCACAATTCAAAATGTGAATAAGTTCTATCCCTGTATTTTCTTAATATTTATTTTCTACTTCTGTTTTATCCAGATGTGAAAAATTTTTAAGCAAATGGTGGAAATAAAGGATATACGAATGTGAAATTTTAGACAAAAGACTCGCTGAAAAAACGAAAAAAGGTTCCAAAGAACTTCTGAGCTCTTTTGAATATTGGCGAATAAAATGCTGATAGTATCACTGTCTCACAGCATAAATTTTGTTGAAAGGGTTATCAGATTATGGGATTTGCCAAAACATTAGATACTGGATAATCAAACTTTTGCTGCATAACATAAAACCAACATCGAAATTTAATTCTTAAGATATAAGAAAGGGATGACGAAAGAGATCTTAATATTGGGTGACATGTTTCATCTCTTGAAGCTCTTTCTGAATTTTAAAGCCAACTTCGGCATGTGATTCAAAGATAAATCAATGAAGCTGTACTATTATTCATTATTGAAGTAAAAATAAAATATCTTCCTACAAACAATATAGATTATTTTAGCTCCTACTTTAATTCGGATATAAATGTTTTGAAATCATTATTGGCAAACTTATATTCCTTTCAAGCAGAACAAAATTATGGAGTGTGTGTGTGTGGGGGGAAACTAGAAAAATAACACCTGTTTCAGATGGGAAGTCTACACTACTACACTATAACACAGAGGGAGAGGGGAATAATTATAGGATATAACTCTCTTTGGCCACATAAACTAATCTAGATCCTACTAATGAACCTGGTGACTTCTCATACAGGCATGAAATAATACCAGCACAGACAAAGAAAATAATCCTGTATTATTTTCAACTATGAACAGAAAAGCATATACTTTGTACTTTATAGTAACACCGACAGCCTGCAGTGGAATTTAAGCTTTGTTACATAAATGAATTAAAGTCTAAAAAAGAGTAGTGCTGGACTAGCACTTTTAAGTTACGGCTAACCTAGGTTGACTCGGCAATTGACCAGGCGTGATAATTATTCAAATGGCCAAAAGGCGTATCAGTAAACTCCAAGTTACAGCAAGGTCATAAACTACGTTTGCTGCCTTGATCCCTTTATAACTCCAAGGTTCACCCATTTAAATATTCACTTCATTTAACTTTAAATTAGCATCCTGGTGAGGAAATGCGAGAGGAAGTTGAGTAGTTCAGGAAAGGTAACAAAAATTTGAATAATTGGTTATTTGAACTAAGGGAAACTCTACATAATAATTAAACGAATAGACATACACTGGTTATCATAAATTAAGGAAAAATCACAAAAATCACGATTACTGAAAAAGTTACATGTAGAATTTTATGAAACTTACCCACAATATACAACACATAGTAAGGTATCAAATAACATAAAAAGAAATTACCAGACAATTATGGTAGTATAGAAATTGGCACATGTATGAAATGAACAAATCGAAGATGTCAGTTTGCTATAGTAAAAGTACCTTCAATATGGAATATAATCGCCTCTAGAAGCAATACAGCACATTCAGCGATGTGTGATACTTTCAATTATGTGGTCTATCAGTTCCACAGGAAGCGAGATTGCTCTTGCAAAGCAGTTGCAAGCGCGGCAAGGCTCTAAGGGGGCGGATTGAGAGCAGCTAGACGTCTCCCTAAAGCATCCCAAATGTGCTTGATAGCATTCAAGTCCGAGGATCAAGCTGGCCACTCCATGCGCATAATTGTTTCCTGTTGAAGATAATCGTATATGATGCGAGCCCTGTGTGGTCTTGCATTGTTGTCCTGTAACAGGAAAGAATCACCTATTGCCCTGGCATATGGGCGCACATAAGCATCAAGTATGTCATATCTGTAAACATGAGCATTCACGGTTCCCCTTCGAAAAACATGGAGGTCTGTGCATCCACCCAAAGAGATGCCACCCCAAATACAGATACTGCCTCTTTCGTATGAATCTCTTTCACGTGTGTTTGCCGGATGATAACGGGTTCCAGGTTCTCTCCATATCAAATAATGCCTATTATCGCTTTATAGACTAAACCTGGACTCATCCGTAAAGAGAACAGCCCTCCATCGCTCAGGCATCCAGTGGGCATGTTCTCGTGCCCACTGCAAACTGTGCCTCCTATGGCGTGACTTAAGCGGCACACAAATGGTTGTTCGCCTCGCATACAGACAACTTTCCTGAAGTCTTTTACGCACAGCTGACGCCGACACCGACCTCCCGGTGGCTGCAGCAAGGGAGGATCTAAGAAGAGTCGAAGTTGTGGTTCTATTCCTGAGTGCAAATAATGTCAAATGTCGGTCATTGGCACTTGTCGTAGCAGTTGGCCGTCCTTGGCTGAACCTAGGTGCCGAATCTGTGATTTGAAATAGCCTCCAAAGTCTATGAACGACAGAAGGACTCTCATTTAGCCATCTGGCCACTTCTGTTTGACTTTGTCCTGTCTCTAGTCTCGCAATGGCTCTCTATCGTAGTTCTGCAAGCAAATGATGCCTGGAGGTCATTGTTACAAATTGGCTATCTCAGATTTCTGATGCCACTATCGCAGTGAAATATGTGGGCTTGCTCTCAAACATGGACTTTTTATGCTCCTCGCAGATGATGTATTCCGAGTGCACCGCTACTAATTTGCATATTGGAGTTTTACTCAGCTACTTTTACTTGGCAACATATTCAAATTTTACACTGTTTGGCTTATTTTTGAGGGAGTTATCGCTATTTTTGTGATTTTTCGTTAATTTATGATAACCAGTGTATTTTGATATTCAAGAAATAAAAATATACAATATGTCAAATGTAGTGTGCAAGGAATGGCAATTATTGATGCACAAATAATCTGCATAAAAGCAAACGTTCTCATCATTGAAAATAGTCCTTCTTTTGTTAGGTAACATAATACTCTCTTATGTGAGTTCATGTCTGCTACATATGCATAGCAACTATCTCCAAATGGCTCATTTTATTCTAGCTACAGTCAAAAGTCGTTAATTCGGACACCCATAATCCGGAATGATCTATAATCCGGACCTCAAAGCTAAAAAACGTTCTGCGCATGCGCCGCGTTGACACATGCACATAGGCGTTTACGCGTGCGCGTAAGACCTTTTACGTCTGCGCATATGGTGCGCGTTTTATGTATAACGGGCGGAATAAGCTAAAATTATCTAATTCGGTTAATGTTGATGATTGTGTTGTTCCTTAATTTTCGAATTGGATCCGGCTTATTATTTTTTGCAGACTGTAAGAGCAATACTATAAAAGTAAACTTGAACTTTCGATTATATCAAATAGAATTTTCGATGCTGGAGCTCCCAAACGATCTACAAAACGAAAGTATGTTTCGATGTCCATCAAACAAAAAGTGTAATTGCTGCAAAAAATGGATAAAGACATGAAGAAGGTGACAGAGAGGTTAGTGAAAACGAAAAAATTTCGATTGACAAGTTAGTCGATATTCTCGGCACAGCAATTATGGGACTTGAACAGCGGAACTTCGTAATTGAAAAAGAAATTATGTCTGTTTATATAGAATTAAAGAGAAAGTATTATCACATAAAACGAAGCAACTTAAACAACTTACATTGAAAGAAATGTTTAATAAAGTAAACACATAAATATTAAGCTTTTTTTTTTGTAAATTTTGATACCCTTTAGATCATAATTATTCTTTATTTCATAAATTACGGTTTCATATTTTTAATTTTAGAATTTCTGCATGCCATCTTACGAGATTTAAACTGATGATCTATAATCCGGAAAAATCGATAATCCGGAATCGCCGAAGTCCCGACGAGTCCGGATTAACGACTTTTGACTGTATTGACATGTTTCAAGTCACTAAAGATAGTCTTTAAGTAAATTTAGTATCTATTTTCATTGCAATTAATTGATATAATAATTTGTACACAAATCATTATTGAAGTTCATCATTTTAAGCATTGTAATTAACTTTCTTCTGTAATAACTTGTGGTATAGTTTTAAGATACCGATTGTTATATTCTTTCATACAAATAAATCATGGGATTTTTGAAGTATTTTCTTGTTTTTATCATTTATATATTTTTTTAGATTTATTTATTGCATTAGATTAGCTTTGCAGGTTTTCCTTTCCCTTTATAACTTATGTATTATGATGTGTTCTTTTTAAGGCTTATTACAACAATGTTGCATGTAATGGTTGGAATAAGTCAAACTTGGTAGATTCTATCATTCTTGCTGCCTTTGAGTTTGACATAATGAATGTCCTTAATTTAGCTTGGTAAGTATTTATTTAATATGTTCATATTTTTACAAGATATTTAATTAATAACTGTTGAAAATTGAAGTCTTTCAGATAATAAAATGTAATTATTGCAGTTAGCTAAATAATTACTATATTTTGTCTGATTTGTATTTGAACATATAAAATACCAGTAGCCTAAAACAATACTATTATGCAATGTCTTCTATCAAGAACCTATGTGTCCTATCAATATCGCCCAAACTCTGCATAGCCATTTTTCTTGGAATGCATAAAAAGTTCCCAAAGAACTGTACCTGTACCATCCATAGTTTTTAGGATAAATGCAAAAGAAAAGTAGGATGTTGTATCAGGTGCAAAATGTTTAAAAAAAAAAAAAAAAAAAAAAAAAAAAAAAAAAAAAAAAAAAACTTAGAAATATGAACATTGGTATCATATTTATCATCAGTATTTGCATGATCACATTTCTTATCAGTATTTTAAAATCATATTTAGCACCGCTATTTGCATGTTTACATACATTTGCACTGTACATAGGAAGATGTTCAAAATGTCCACTGCACATATCAACACACACTTTGTGCAATGTCTTAGTGCATATGTTGCAGCAGTGTGGTGTCCTCCAAAGTACATGCAGCATGAAGGCGAGTAACTAGGTCTCGATAGATTTGTTTCATCAGATGTAATACCCAGGACGCTGGATTACAAGTGGAGGTTTGGTTTTATGGCCATCATAATCACCAACAGATTTGACATCTTTGGATCTCTTCCTACGGGGCCTCAAAAAGAATTGGTCTATCGAGACAGTTATTACAGAATATGATGTAGTTCTTAATGTTGCATGTAATTTGGTGGACACTGTGCTGCTGCAATGTATAGTGTCAGGCATTCCACTTTGAATGCTTGCCTCTATATGGGTGCTGGACATTTTTGAACATCTTTCCGTATTTCATTTTTCTAATAATATGTTTCTTGCACCAGATATGACTTCACACCTTTCTTTTACACTTATCTCAAAATCTATGAATACAGGTACAGTTCTTCACACATTTTATCTGTATTTCAAATGAGGAATCTAGCTGTGTGGAGTTTGGGTAGTCTTGGTGGAACACTATGTATGTAGGTGACTCTCACATTTTCCTTTCTTCTACTTCCAACCAAAAGATTTATGCTATTTTGGAAAACAGTACTTTTCCAAGTGGTATTTTTTTTCTTTCGAATTTCAAATATATTTTATGAATTCCTGCTTGATCAAAGAACAGGTTTTTGTTCCTTTTTTGACTTCTTTTTAGTTTTATGATTTCTTTTTTTTACTATGAACAAGTTATATGACACAGGAATATCATTATGATTTTTTCCTCCCTGTAAAATATTTTTTTAGTAATTTTAACAAATTTGATGGTACCATAAAGCTAACTGGAAAATATTCTTGTTTGGATTAAATAAAGATCAGAAGCTGTTACAAATTGAGAAGACCCAAGATCTTCCATTATACAGGAAAACTCTACACCATGTTCACACAAGCAGTTAGATGACCTTTATTTTTGACACTGTTGGGTCATAGACAGGTGCTCCAAATTACAGAAATGTTTTAAATGGCACAAATATTCATATTTTTTTTGCAATTTTAAATTAAAAAAGAAATCAGTTTTGTATAATTGGGAAATCTAACTTGTATGTAGGAAAATTTGTTACTTTTTTTTGAAAAATAAAATACAAACCCCCAACTCTCTTTAATGTATCATTTTTATATTGGATATCATATCTGAGGGCCGTGCACAAATTGAAAAGCAAATGTTCCATTTAAACATAGCTAAAAAATTATATATTTAAAAAAAGGTTTCTGGTGTGAATAGATTATGTGCCTGAAAATTAAGCATATGAATTGTAACAAGATTATAAATTAAGAATGTTACACACTAGTAAATCTCTAAAAAATATCACGAATGATATTTAAGGGAAAAAATCAACCTCGCATCATTCTACATTATTCGTTAACTGACCTCTCAAATCAAACTGAAAATGACATCAATATTCCAAATTTTGAAATTAAATATCTTGGTCAATTTGGTACTGTTCAGTTACCAGGAACGGGTTCAGAAATGTACATATGTATGCATGTATATATTGCAAGTACGAATGTATGTGTGTGTATACATATACACATACATACAAACACACGTTCATACATTTCTGAATCCAGTTTCGATAACAGAACAATACTGTCAATTTTTTCATACTCTCCCCCCCCCCACAACTGAAAATATAAAATTTTACTGAGTGTAAGTATAAGGAGTGGGAAGCTGTATAAAAAGTTAGGTTCTTCTACTTCCATCCAAAAAATTTATGCTGTTTCGGAAAACAGTACTTTTCCAAGAGATACTTTTTTTTTTTTTTCTTTTCTTTCGAATTTCAAATATATTTTATGAATTCCTGCTTAATCAAAGAACAGGTTTTTGTCCTTTTTTGTGACTTTTTTTTAGATTTGTGATTACTTTTTTTACTATGAACAATTGACATGACACTTTTTTCCCTGTAAAATATTTTAGTAATTTTAACAAATTTGATGGTACCATAAAGCCAACTGGAAAATGTTGCTATTTGGATTAAATAAAGATCAGAAGCTGTTACAAATTGAGAAGACCCAAGATCTTTCTAACTTCCATTATACATTATGTTCACACAAGCTGTTTATATGAATCAATTTATATGAAATTGATTTTTAAAAATTAAATATGCAAAACATGAATATTTGTGTCATTTAAAACATTCGCTACTTGGGAGTATAAATCTACTATTAGTGGTTGTGAAAATAAAGGCTAGATGAGGATTTGTATGGGTACAGTATATATAAATGCAAGCATATCAGTTAAAGAATCATTTGGAAAGCAGTTTTATTTGTACTGTTTAACATTTTGCATTGAGTGTTATTTTATACCATCTGTGCCATAAATAAAATAAGTAATGTAGCATAAGTTAGCTGCAAATTTTTAACTTCCTTTCTCTATATGTACACTGTTATCTTCATCGAAAGCAAAATATCGTGGTAACGATGAAATTTCATAGTAACATTGTAATCCTCTATGTATGTTCCTTTCCTTTTTGCTTTAAATTTTAATTAAGTGGCAGGCTTTTGAAATCATTTGATGAAGTATTAATCTCATCTTTTATTCAAAAAAGGAAATACAAAAACCAAGACTGGAACTTTCAAAATTGATTTTTTTGAAAAATATTTACAGGAATATTTAGTTTTATGAGTCTGCAACTAACGCTATTATTATTTCATTATTTACAGGTTAGGCTAAATCTCTTCTGGGGTATTAGACTGTAATCTATAGTTTTCTTAACCTTTTGCTTTAAAACCAGGACCATAATTTATTTTATGTATATATTTATTTATTTTTCAGATTGTACGCCGTCCAAAATTAAGCTGAATTTTTTATCTTTACTAAATAAGAACTGTACTTGCAAACAAAAATTTTGCTTTTTTATGCAAAGAATGAATTTCTTAAAGAAATATATGTTTGCATTTATAATTAACTCGTTAAGTAAAAAAATGTAAAAATGGACCTTTAGAATCAAAATGCAGCACTAAAATTATAAATATAAATTTTAATTAATGTTGATTATCCCATTGGAAATGAATAGTAAATGTATTGCAATTTAGATATTTATAAAAAGTTAATCTCCTAGGAAGATGGGTTTAAATTATGGAAATAACACTTAGTAAAAATATATTTGAATTATAGGAAAAAAAGTTATAATAATAATAATAATAATAATAATAAAAGAATTCTAAGAACTAAACTAAGAAAAATAAAATTAATAACTGATTCCATGGAAAAAATCTGAATTTTCAAGGGAAATGAATCCTTTTCAATAAAATAACCAATAACAAGGAAATCTGATTGTGTTTCGTCTCTTTTGTAAATTCGAATGAAATCCTGTTCAAAAATGCAATTCAGAAATATTAATAAATATTTCAGTTTGATTTTAAATCAGTTTGTTTGCAAGCACATGAAAGAAATTCTCCAACATGATATGTCATAAAAAAATGACAAAAACACAATTACCAGGCAAAACACTGATAAATCTTAATTGTTAAAAGCTAAGTCAGTAAAACATTAAAAAAAAAAAAAAAAGAAACATATCAATATGATTTGCTTTAGACTAACGAATGGTATCTAATATTTACAAATTATAATGCAGTTTTATCATGTCTGATGTAATATTTAACCATTATGAGGGCCAAAAATTAAATTTTATGTAGATTCTGCAGTGACGTCTTTATTTGGTCATTTTTAAATAAAAAAAAGAAGTTTATAACAACATGCTGAGGACGCTAAGGGTTGCAATACATTATGTTTGCATGTGTAATACATACATATGTATATATACATGTATACATGTACAGTCAAAAGTCTTTAATCCGGACTCGTCGGGACTTCGGCGATTCCGGATTATCAGTTTTTCCTGATTATAGATCATCAGTTTAAATCTGGTAAGATGGCATGCAGAAATTATAAAATTAAAATCATGAAACCGTAATTTTTATGAAATAAAGAGCAATTATGATCTAAAGGGTATAAAAATTTACAAAAAAAAAAAGCTTTATATTTATTTGTTTACTTTATTAAACATTTCTTTCAACACGCACATGCATAAATACATTACGCATAGTCAAAATTAGAAAATTGCAACCAGAAAACTATTTGATGCGTATTCATGATATTTATAATGACGAGGAATTTTATTTAAATCATATCAAAGACGGAGTACATCGAGATGAAATACTACATGTAGTAAGGAATTATAAGCCGAATAAAATAAAGACAACATCTGCCCTGAAGATAAGGATAGTGCTGACAGATCAACTTCCAGTTCATTGCCCCCCCCTCAGAGCAGCGTGAAATTGATAAACATATTTCGGAATGATTAGAGAATCAAAGGATATGCCTTTATCCATTTTTTGCAGCAATTCCACTTTTTGTTTGATGAACATCGGAACATGCTTTCGCTTTGTAGATCCTTTGGTAGCTCCATAATCGGAAAATTTTTTTTGACATAATCGAAACTTCAAGCTTACTTTTATAAAATTGCTCTAACAGTCTGCAAAAAATAATAAGCCGGATCCAATTAGAAGATTAAGGAACAATGCATAACTGAAACAGATAATTAGATAATTTTAGCTTAGCTTATACCGTCCGTTATACATTAAGCGTTGATGCGTAAACATATTATGCGCATGTGTAGATGCATATGCGCAAGCGTAAAGGTAATCTTACGCGCATGCATAAACGCCTATGCACATGTGTCAACGCGACACATGCGCAGAAAGTTTGTAGCTTTGAGGTCCGGATAATGGATGTCTGGATTAAAGCTTTTTGACTGTATATATAATATGTGTGTATGTGCTAATTTTTAATTTGTTTCTTTCAGTTCAATTAATGATGGCTGGTGGTTTGCTGTTCACATAACAGACCTTCTCACACATGGAGATTATATTGACTTAAAGATGCAGCTAAAGTATTAATATCCATTTTAAAAATTTCATATCAATAAATTTTACTTGTGTAAATAATATAATAAGGTTGAATTTCAGTTCTTATAATTTACGTTATTCTAACATTACATACACAAGGAAAAAACAGCAGAAAGAAAAATTAAGAAACCGTATTCCAAAAAATTTGATAAAGCAAGCATGATAAAGCAAATTAGAAGCATATCTAATTACTGAAGTTATATTTTATTGATTCATGATTTTTTTCCTTAAAATTTTCACATGCATGTAAATCTTTTTTTCTTTTATTTCAACTACTGTATTCAAAATACAAGATCCATTCAATAAAAATTTATTCTATAACTACTACGGAAATCTACAAGGTAGAAAATACTACTCCTTGGCCAAAGAAGTAATCACCAATCATAAGAAAAATAGTGAGCTTTCCTTCCATTAATTACTTATAAAATTCTGCACATTCTACAGAGGTCTTGATCTTCATGGTGTTTTTCTTTTACCAATAAAACCAAGATCTGCCATTATTGTTTCTTCTATATTTGTTCAGTAGACATTTACTAGTTTTTTTTCATTGATTGCACCCTACACACAAACTTGATTTGTTTTTGTCATTAAGAGTTTTTTTTGTTAACTTTCGTTTGCAGTATTATTTTATAACTTTTTAATTATTTAGTGTATGTAGAAAAACTAAAATTGTGTGTCCTTTTTGAGATATTTTTATTTATGTCAGCTTAAATACAATTATAATTGCACGAAATATCTTTCAAGGATTTTTTGCTAAATTATGGGAATTTTGAGTGTAGAATCTGGAGTGGATTTGAGTGAGAGAGTAGAATTATAATGTGTTTAAGGGGGAAAACTAAGAGAGAGGTACCTAAAGGATAGGATGAGCTATAGTTAATATAGCTTTCAGACTGTATTTGAGCAGTAATTACATTATAGAAGTCTATAATGATAAATATTAGAATGTATTTGAGCCGTGATTACATTATAGAGGTTTATAATAATTTTATGTATCCATAGCTTTAATTTCTTTTTCAGTTCATCACAGAATTACAGAGAATTCCTCATTAAGAATTATGCTGATACACTAATGTCACATAGTAGGTAATTGATTTTTTTTGTATTAATCTGAGAATTTTGCTCATAGATGGAAATAGTTCTGTTATTTGAAAGTACTGCAATATTTTGCATGTTAGTAAGTTAAAATAAATTTATAAGTTATATATTTTTTTTTTAAATTTTATTATTTTATAAGAGGAAAGGTAGACTAATCATTGTATGTTTTAAATTGGTTTATTATGGAGTTTTAAAACAAAACTTAGTTTTTCCTGAAGTGCTGTTCTTTTTCTTTTATTAAAATCTAATATTAAGAGAGTTAGTGCTTTCTAAAAATTACTTTGATTTTGAAGCAAGCTCAAATCGTATAAATTTAAGAGTGTTAGTAAAAAAAACTTAAAACAGGATGTTGGAGTATTTTAATTTTTGAATAGTTAAAATTACTTTGTTTCTTTGCGTACCACCTATTTTTCTCTTGTGTACCCCGTTTAAGAATCGCTGCTCTAGACTATTGACTTATTTTTTAATTGTGGTGAAATAAGACTCATAAATGCAGAATGCAGTTCTTCAAGACGACCCCCAAAGCAAAATATGCTAAAATTTGCAATATACATTGTTGAACAAACAACTTCATATAACGATAAAGGATGAAACTACCCTTCCTTATATATATATATATGTGTGTGTGTGTGTGTGTATATATATATGTATATTAAAAAGAGAAATTGAGAGGTTATATTCTGGTCTATCCATGAAAGAACTTACCCCAAACTGCAGTAAATTTTGTATATCTGTGCATAATACTAAAAAAAGCATAATACATACTATATATGTAACTTTTTGGGCTGTCCAAGGTTTTTGCAGAATAATGCAAAACATTCTGCTTTGGGTGTGTTGGAATCAATCAATCGAATTATGTATTGAATTAAGCAGAATTATAGTTATTAAAATTAAAATATTGTCTTAAAATATTGTTTCTGACTTTTCATTCTTATGCTTAATAAGAATATTTTTTAACAGTATTCTTTTGTTTGTGTTAAAAATCTTGGAAGCTTGTTTTGTGTCTTACTTCGTTGTACTTTTTTAGTTTATGGCAGATTGGACTAGACTATCTTGATCACTGTCAAATCAATGCTCGGTAAGATTTTAAAATTTTTTTCAAAATTGAAACTTTACGTAAGAATAAGTGTGTAAAATATATGTGTTTTGCATTGTATTCGATAAGGGAATCTGAAAAAATCTTTCTGTATATACATTACAAAAATTAATTTAATTATTTAATTGACTTTTTTAAGCCAGCTCCTTTGTTTTTGTATTAGTTTCAAAAACAAATTAGGCTGATAGTTAATTATATGTATAGCTGAATTTTAAATGGCAGGTATATTTTTTAAAACCAGTGCAGCAAATTACTTCGTAAAACATCCAGTGTCATTAATTATATGTCGGCTAAATATTTTATCCCATCTATTTAAAGTATTTTTTGTGGCTTTTTTGCAGTGCATTACAAGAAATTTATTTAGAAAGAATACCATTGCAAACAGAAGCTAAAGCTAGAAAAATACTTTTTTTGGCTAAGAAAAGAAATATGGATAATTTAGGTATGATAAACATTACAAAACTTTATTAACGTTTTTGATGATGCATATTTTGGAAATTTTAATAGTAAATTTATTTAATGACTTATGCAAATTGATTTATGTATTGAAAATATGTATAGTTCAAAGTCTAATATCTGGAATCATTTTGATTTTAGTGATTCTGGGTTTTAGATCTTCTCTTTATAGGTAGTTATAGAATTAAAATTATGAAATAGTTATTTATAAAATAATGAAGCACTTATGAACTTAAGAGGTATTAAAAATCATCGATTTGTTTTATTAAACTTCAGTGTAAGATATTTAAGCCCCATCTCTTTCTTTGTTTTCCTTTTTGTTGTGAATGGGCTTTAATCTAAAAGGGCTATTAGTCTCAAAATGGCATTTTACATGAAATCGCTTTAAATTTCCGAATCACTTTTCAAATTGTTGCCACCAAATAGTATTACCATGCATTCTGTTTAAAGAAGCTTTGAAGAATCTGCATGAATGTATGTTTCTTGCATTGTGAAAAAAACAACAATACATAAACTCATCAAATTTTGAATAACAATAGTCCTGTGCACGAGCATGGGCACCTGTTAGCCTAAATTTGGAATTTGTATTTTGGAAAACTTTGTAACAAATTTTGGATTAAAAAACTCAACAATTTCAAAGTGAGCAATGACAATACCGCAGGGAATAAAACATTTTTATCTCCAGCACACAGGACTGTCTATCAAAAATTCAAAAGATATGCTGTTTTTAAATATTTTTAACACAATGTGGCAGTAGCCCAAATGTTCTCAAAATGTACCTGTAAATTGGGGGAGGGAAGAAGCCCATTTGGATGTAATATAAAATCTGAGAGCTTTCACATTTTTTTTCTTTTTTCCCTCCTTTTTTTTGTGTGTACATGTGGGTGCATGTGCTAATACTTTTTTTGAATTTTGTAGATAGATGTAATTTGAAATCCTGTGAAGGCCTTTTTAATTTCAAGGCCTGTAAAGGCCAGTTGAAACCTATTCATTCTTAACAATGCCTTTGTCACCTCCTCCACTATGAGTAGCAATAGTTTCTGGATTTAATAACCATACTACAGATTTGTTATCCATTAGTTGCCTGAAGATTGAGGATCATGTTTGCATTAGAAGACCTTTTATATCATAATACATTATCGCTTCTGTACATTTCTTCATAAATTCCATCTATTGAAAAAGTTTGTCTTTTGTTAATGATATCCAAAAATCTCCAAATTCGTGGTGTGTTTATTATTCATTGCCATGAAATATGGTATTTGACAATAAATTATGCCAGGCATTTTAAAAAATATGCAGACACATGCTACAGTGAATTTTTAATGAATGCTCCAGACAGCAGATTTTACATTAAAATATTGGGAGTACAAATAAGTCTCCGCCCCCTTTTTTTAAAAAACCAAAAATTGGCATTTATTTTGAATTTATTTGAAAGAATGTTTTATTCAAAGTATTGTCCATTGCTAGCCACTTCTTTTTTCCATCCTTCTGGCAGCATTCGGATACCACATTAGAAAAAGTGCGAGGCTATCCACAAATTAATCAGTGTTTGGTACCTTCATATGATGTGAAGCCCTACTCGGACAGAACATGTGTCATCAATTGAAACAAGTAACATTCAGGAGTAATGTCTGGTGAATACTGCAGGACAAGGAAAACTTCTCATTTGAGTATTTCTGAGTAGGTTTTGTCTGGTGTCAGTCACAGCATGTAGAAGAACGTGCATGCGGGAGAATAATTTTGTCATGTCTGGAGTAGTAGTGGGCACATTTTTCTTTGAGTGCTTGGCTCAGTGTCATCAGTTGTGTTTGGTAGAGAGCCCCAGTGGTTCAGTTTGAGCAATTCTTACTACATAACACTGAGTCACTCCCACCATATACACAACATGATTTTTTTTTCTATGAGTATTTGGCTTAGCTGTCGATGTTGAAGCATGGCCAGATGGTCCCCATGATTTCTTCTTCTTTGGGGCATCGCAAAAGATCCATTTTTCATCTCCACTGAGTATATGATGGAAAAAACCGTTTCCTTTATGCCTGACAAGCAGTATTTCATGTTTTAAAAAATTGGCGTTCAACATTTTTTGGCTTTATGGAACCCAGTTTTCTTGCTTTTGAATCATTCCCAATGATTTTAAACAATATGAAATTGCTTGTTTAATTACTCCTAATACAAATACTAGTTCTACTTGTGTTTGGCACGAATCTTCATCCAATAATGCCTCCAATTCTGAATCTTCGTGCACTGTCATCCTTCCACTTGGTTCTTTGTCTTTGACATCAAACTCACCATTCTTAAGCTGTTTAAACCATTCATGACAATGTCTCTCAGTTAAGGCAGCCTCACTATATGCTTATACAAGCGATCACTGTGCTTCAGCAGCAGATTTCTCCAGATTAAAGAAGTAAATAAAAACATCCCTCAAATGATGCTCATTTGGCTGAAAACTTAACATTTTCGCATGAAAAATATAGGATGTTGACACAAAATCGCTAATATTTGAAGGTTATGTTGTTAGCAAATGTCCAACCTTATATGACGTTTTAATCAGACAGTTTTAACCACTGTAATCATAACTTACTGGTGTAATAAGAACTTAATGGACAATTGTAAATCATAACTTACTGGTGTCACCATTTTTTTTTTTTTTTTTTTTTTTTTTTTTCTCCAAATGGTGGAGACTTTTGTATTCCCAATATTAAAAAAAAAAAAAAAAAAAAAAAAAAAAAAAACACTTGGTCTTGCCATTGTTAAAAAATTTAGCATAGATTCAAAAAAGGCTGCTTTGTATCTGCATTTCAATGTGTGCAGCACTCCGATACCAGCCTCAGACTTGTGAAGGGTGAGCCAACTAAAACTTGTGAGGTGTGAGCCAAACAGCTATCTAGAATCGGGACATTTTTTCCATTATTCGGTAAACTGATTGATACTAGCCTCAGATATGAAACTATTTTCAAGCCAATTATTCATTATGTTTTTTTTTTATTTTAATGATAGATTATGAGGAACATCTTTTTGGAAATGGCTGAGATATGTTTTTTTCTTTTGAATTACAAAACGATGACTTTTGTTCATTTCTGCTGCATTTACTTGTGTCAAAATCTTTAGTCTTGCTCTTAAACTGTAGATACCAACTGGGACCTTTTCTGCAGAGGTGACTGAAATATTTTGAGGCACATATGACCAAAAAAGATAAATTTTGTCTACGTTATCAATTTGTTCTGGAAATAACTTTTCACCATTAATGTGTTCAATGAATTCATCTGTAAATATTCAAGTGCTTCAGTATTAGTGAAAGGTTGTATGCCTGAAATTTTTAAGTACCTTGCACCATGGTAGTTTTTAAATTTTGTTAACCAACCTGTTGGATAAACACTGAGTTTTAAACTTTTTATATGCGCTCATTTCCTTATGAAATATTTTGGCTTGGCCATTAACATTATACATGTCAATCTCATGTCCTTGCTGCACTGCTGTCTCAGCCTTCACTTATTACTTTGTCATGGTCATCATTTTTAGTATAACAAATGATTTTCCTGTTATTTATTGTGAATGGGGCATTAATATCTACAGAAAGTTACTTTAGAAAAAATGTTGTATGTTAATTTTTCAGTGCTATACATTGTGCAAACTTTTGAGATGGATATGCCTTTATATAATATTTTACAGTAATTCCACTTTTTTCTCAATTAACATCAAAACATGCTTTCACTTTGCAGCTCCGGAATTCAAAACTCTATTTGCAGGCAAAAATTCAAAATTTAATTATGATAAGATAGTTGTAATAACAATAGCATGTAAAAAACTGATAAGCTGGGTCAAATTAAAAACATAAGGAAGAGCACATTTTACTGTATTAAAAAATATCTTGGAATTATATCTTACTTTCCTGCTGCTATGCCAACAAGAAAATCAATATGAGCAACATCCCACTCTTAGGTCTTATGTCTTAGGGCTTCCTGTATTGTTTCGGTTGGATAGAAAACTGTTACCCTTTACAGCCACTCCAGGGTCAAAAGTATGGTCGTGGCTGGTCGGTGTATAGTTATTTGACCATGGAATGATTCCTTATTCAGCAAATGATATGAGAGAATTTCATTATTCAGGAGAAAATTTCTAGATTTATTAGGGCGGGGGGAATCTTTAAAAATTTTTTCCTTTTTTTTTTTGCTGGTGGTCAATTAATGTTAAATTATTTTGGATACTGATCACATGATTTTGAACTTTGTGCTATTTTCTCCATTGTGTGAAAGTATACCATTTCTGTGAAACCTTTCAAACCCAACTGATGTAAAGCAAATAAGCTGAAGCAGCTTGCTTGCCTGAATATTTCCATAGTTTTCTCTATTTATAAAATAAATGCAAACAATATTTTCTGAAGGTTTTCTGTAAAAGCATCTGTGAAAGGTATGTTTTGATAATAAATTATTTATCTGAATTTTCTCACCATATCTAGTTGGCTACAAAAAGACTTTTAATTTTCTTTTTTGATTTGCATATAATTAATCTAAATATCAGGAATAAGCTATTTGTCCCTCATTTCAAATTTTAAAACCTATGTCACATTTTCATGATTATACACTTTATACTACAGTACTGTTTTTTCACTTTTCAAAAGTAGAATGTTCTCATGAAGCTTTTCACAAAAATGAAAAATGCATTTACCATAAATTTAGATGGGTGGAAAAGTATTTTAGATATCCTCATGCTGTAAAAGAAGCCTGTTTAATCTTATCAAATGATTGCTGAAATCTAAAATAACATTAAATAAAAAATGGTATCATAAATATCTAACAAATATAACTAGAATATATAATAATGTTTTACCTTCCAAAATTTTGAAGGAACAAGCACAGTAGAAAGTGTAAAAGTGGTGGTGATGGTCTTGCTGAGAAACTGAATTTTTGGATGTTAAGTTTTGAAAGAGTTATTAGAGAGGGAAAGAAGGTAACCATTTATTCACATCAAGTTGTCTTTGCAATTTTTCTGCCTATCTGCTGCATTCTGAAAAATTTAGATTTGTCATCTGCTCTTGCTGATGTAAAAGGCTTGAAATAATAATAATAGTATAATTCATTCTTTAAACTGACTTTATTTCCCCTGTGTAGTTCTTTGCAGGCAATTGATGTGGCCTGAAAGCTAAATTAAATTATTATATTTTCTTCCACCATTAAAGAAAACAAATTCCTAGTGGCATTTTTATTTTCTTCCCCTTCATGCAAGTAAAATTCTTTGTATTTCATTAAAGATACTAATCTAAGTCTTCCATGAAAGTTAAATGGCAGAGTGAACTTTCCAAAACGGAGGGCACCTGTGTGCCATTAAACTTATTTTATATTCAACGAATAACTTATTTTTGACATAATCTAGGATAATGAAACTTTGGTTCACAAATTCAGTTTGTTTCTAAAGGCCGTTCATTCCCTGGAATGTTCAAAAACCAAACCGGTTTTCTGCATAGGCATTAATGTAAAGTAGATTAATATATTCCTAGATCACAGATAATCGCTTATTTAAAAAATGTATAAAATTTATAAATGTTATTTAAAAAAAGTTTACGACAGGACTCTGCAAACAAGTTCACGACACAATGCAAATCATTAAATCCAACCCCCCCCCAAAAAACTGAATGAAACAGATAGATTCTATCACATCCCTGTAAAGGAGAATAGATGGCACAAATGCAAAGTGATGAGAAGGAGAATAGGAAGCAACATTATTTTGACAACAAGTTCCCTTTCATAAAAACATCAGGTAATCTTCTTTCTGTGTGAACTTCTTTTTTCTGTGTCTTTTAGCACCAATTGACTGCGCTTGAAATTCGTTTGGCCTCCATTTTTCTCAAAATTTATCTGTGTCTTCTATTTTTAAAATGTTTTTAGAAAGAAACATGGCATTATCATTAAAGTTGTAGCTTTCTTATGGTAATATGACCTGAAACTTTGCATCTTATCCCATTTTGCACAAATTTTAGAATGGTGTCATTACATGAAGCTTTGCTCTGCACTCCATTTTTGCACAAATTTTGTGGGTCAAAGAACTAGGTTTATCTTCTGATGACACTTCCTATTCAACTGCTTTTTGTTGTGGCTTTTGAAGGTGTTTGTTTTTTCTAGTTGAATTTATTTTTATGTTTTTCTAGTCATTTCTTCATGTCTTCATCGTTGACCTCCAAACACAATGTTTTCCATAGAGATACAATGTTGTAGATATAAAATAGATTAAATGGGGGATGTAGTATCGTGGCCCTAAAAATCTGTGCCTGTAGCCACTATCTGGTCATAATTTCCCCCAAGCCAAATTCATAATCCCATAATTCACTTGTTGACAGGCTTTATTCCTGAGAGTAAAATAATTGAAAAATACAAAAGAATGTTTTTTAGAGTTAATTCCCTGAGTGTTAATTCAGTGTGAGAGTTTACCTGAAAATCTTTGAAAAATCATTTGTTGCTGATTTGAGTGTTCATAACATATTTATCATCCAACATGTTTTTTGTTGAGATGATTGTTTGATCCGAATGAGAGGCATTCATGATCCAAGGTTCCATTGTATATATTTTTTAAAACTTTAAAGTCTAACTTGTATAATTTTGAATTTTGTAAGTTTTGATGAAAAATGTGAATGATTGTTGTTTGGATGTATTCAGCAATTTTTTAATGTAGTAAAGCCATAATATAATCTTTTAGCTTTAAATCTGATAGATATAATATTGAAATTTATTTTGATGTGAAAAGTAAATGTGATGTCTTCAATAATTTTTTTATAATTTTTTTAATGCAGTGAAAACTATTGCCAATGTGATGACATCAAAAGCTATAGCAAATGGGAAGCTTGAAACTGCGTTAACATGGGTTGCACACTCAAAGGTTTGTTGAAGAAAATTATTTTGAATTAAATTATACCAAATTACAAGAGTAGCTGGGAGGGAAAAAAAAAAAAAAAAAAAAAAAAAAAAAAAAAAAAAAAAAAAACATTGATTTTAAATGCCCAGGCAAACATACCTTATTGAGCACTTTCATTCACATTGATCTGTAGGTGACAAAGTGAGTGAAAAGTGAGTTTATTTCATAATTATTTTCTGTTTTCTTAAGTTTATAGCTGCATAACTACATATATGGATAAGGCCACCAGGCGTCCACAGGTATGGGTAGAAGCGGGCAGGATATGAGAATTTTACCACTGGTTGTACAGGTATAGACCTGCTGCACTGACTACTTAGTTTTGCCTCATTTCTGAGAGAGAATACCCTATAGCGGTCTGAAGGTCTTTCGCACCCCTCTTGCCCTAAAACTAACCTCTCGAGAGACCTTTTGCCTCACTATGTATTTTTAGTGACTCTTTGCCACACAGACATTATATACTTACCTATTGGTAAAGCAGTTAGTATCACTATACTGACTGGGCAGCCACCAGAACATCCACAGTATAAGCAAAAAATGCTGTTAATTGAGATAATGCTGATATACTGTTAGCCAACCTTTGGCTGTAATAAATACCCTTGAGCTTCTCTGCTTGCTTTTGATAAGATTTTGGAAAGCAGAGAGAGAAAGCTTTCACTTTTCCAAGACGGCACTCAAAATTTGCCATTTAGTGCCTACATTAGGGTTGCCACGCTACCTGGAAAAACGTAAAAAGTCAGGGAATTCGAAAATTGACCAAAAAATTCAGAGAAAAGTCAGGGAATTTAAATATTTTAGTAAAAATCTGGAAAAGTCAGGGAATTTCATACGGCTATTCCCCCCCAAAAAGCGAGTTTTGCGCCGACGTTGGAAGCGATCACTTTCTTGGTGAATTATGTGTCGCGTGAGCATCATTCAGCCATCTGGCATAGAGCTAATTTTTGCTGCTCCAATCAGATTGTCTTGAGAGAAAGGCAAAGCAAGTTTCCAGTAACTTTTGGATTCTAGTAACCTTGAGTATTGAGAGACTCCCATGCGTGCATTTGGGGATATTATGATGAGCAGTAAACGGGTCATTTTGGTGTTGGCGACAATTTTCAAAATCGTGCCAAGGCCGTAGCGTATACTAGGATTTTACCGCAAAATCTTTTTAACCCCTCTTTTTTTAATAAATGCCTTATTTGTCATTTTGCAGTAAAAATAAAAAATAGTAATCAGTCACCTAGGCTAACCATTTAATGTAACTTTATTCACCAAAATATCGTTGATTATTCTAATTCAATTTTTAAATAATTATCTTTATTTTAATGTTATTTATGCCATTTAATGTTGCTTCTCTTTCTTCTTCTCTCTAAATTTATTTATTATTTTTTTAGTAAATAATACTTTCAAATTTCAGGAAATTTTTTCTACATAATCCTAAAATTAATTCTAGCAGTATAATGACATACCATCACGAAATTTAATGCACATATTGTTTGCTTATGCATGCTACTAAATAAATATAAAATACCTGAATTTATTAAAAAATATCATTAAATAGATTTTTCTTTCATTTAGCTGCAAAATATCTGCAAAAAAAGACATTTTTAAATCCAGATTGGGCAGATTCTAATCTTAATCTTCAGTGGAGAAGAAAACTCCTATTATAGTTATAATAGTAATGCTTTGGGGGATTATATATTAAAGTCATATGTAATTGGCAAATTTTTGTGTTTTCAAATGGTACCATAATTAATTTACCTCTTAGCATAGCCAATGTGCATTACGTGGATAGACTGGATTACGTGGATTCCTGTTTGAGTGGCAACCCTGCTATATACATTGTAATGTTGGCATTGGTTGATCTCATTTCTTGTTCATAGAATTGATAGGACACATTTATCAAGAATTTAAAAATACATTTTTTTTTTTGTTAATCCACCGCTCCATTTCATAATTGTGTCCAATCGGTGAACTGTGCTCATGCTACATGAAACTACGTCACAAATAGAAAAGCTATTTTCAGAAGAAAAAAATTACTTTATGAATTGAATGAACATATGTATTGTTCTCTCAACTGTTGCCATACCCACACCTAGCCATTAGATTGGTGCACATTGTATCTACAACCTGTTTTTTTCATACTGTATATTAGATGTACTCTGTGCACCATACTAATTGAGAAACAAAATTCTGATGACGAATGAGAGTCTTATATCAGCTGCATGACCTTAGAAACCTGTGAAATAAAATTTTCAGTTGCTGTATTTAAGGGTGTCAGTATTATTACTTATAAATGTAGATCTTACTACCTGATGCACACAGAAGTTGCTTGTCATGCTATTCACCTAATACTGTTTGAGCATAATGCATTAATTAGATTCTACAGTTTTTATTCTTATTACTTTTGTTAGTATACTGTGTTAAAAATTGTGAATCAGGTATGTTTAAATATTCTCCAGACCCTCTGCTATATAAATAACAAATGTAATTATTCGTAGTCATTCCCTCACTTCTATCAAGTTTTAGCATTTTTAGTCTGATTTATTTTATATACAATCTAAAATGACTCAACAAACTTAAGATGTGACAAGAAAATATGCTATGTCATAGCAGAATCCAGCAAACTAGTCTGTTGCCTTGTCCATATAATGTATATTGTATTAGATCAGTATTTTTACTTCCTTGTATGAAGTAAAAAGGAAGTATTGTAATCGCAGAAAGCTTCAGGCAGCATATTTCAACGAAAATATCCACTCTGACCACTTTCGAATGCAATTTAACGATATTTTTGCGTAATATCTATACGTAAGGACAGAATAAAAGACTCTTTTCCTCCAAAAATACTAAAAAAATGCTTTAAAATGAATTCTGAAGAGAATTTTTCGTGGTGTCTGTACGAACGTATGTACGTACGTACCTCACATAACTCAAAAACGAGTAGCCTCAGAACATTGAAATTTTGTATATAAGACTACTATGACATGTAGATGTGCACCTCGTATTTTGGTTTTAATCGGCCGCGCCAAATGTATATAAATATATTTATAAATATATCCACTCTGTTACCTGGCTCAGTGATCTCAGTTTCTTTATTCTTATATGTTTGTAAATTGTACATTTTTTGCTTTAAAAATGATTGATTATGTTGTTAAGTTTTAAATAACATGGCGGACATATTTGTTTACATTTGAAACAGCAGAATTGTAAATTTGTTGCCAATCTAGAGACGCTAAGCTTCGCAACACAAAAATAACGCCTTCATTTATTATTGCGAATTAAATCATGCTTAATCCTTTCTGGAATTTTTTCGAGGAAATAAGTATTTAAGATTTACTTCGTAATTTTTAATACAGATATTTTGACTTTTTATGTATTTCTGCCTTCTTACAAAGTGAGAACTGAATTAATTGAATGAGAAATACTCAATCATCTGTGAAAAACTGTTTCTTTTTCGTTTTGATTGCTTAATTTCTTTTATACATCATTCTAGCTTTGTTATAGTATTTGAATAGAACATGTGGCAACGATTAGATAATTCTTTAAATGATATAAATTTTGTGCATTCTGAGTTATAATATGAACGAAATATAATACTGTTAAGTAAACCTAGTGCCAGAGTGTCGCTATGGTAAACAAAGTGAATTTTAAAGAATGCATTTATTTTATTGTGGTTTATGCGCTGTCGGCGAAAGTAGGTTTAATTCAATCTAATAAGTTAAATGAAATGGGAAAAAAAAAAAAAAAAAAAAAAAAAAAAAAAAAGCGTATAATTTAATATTCTGTACAAGGAAGTCATGTGGTGTACACATCAGATTTTTATATTAGAAGTTTATAAACTGTTTAAATATATATTAACCTTCAAAGATATATTTTTTTTAAATTAAGTGCAAGAAAATATGCTTGTACAATTACCCAATGAAATATTTTAATATTATTAAATATTCACAGTATAAAATATTTATATCATTATAATTTGAATAATAATTCTAATATAATTGAATTGGACTTAAAAGTGGTAAAATATATTTCAACAAAATGGACATGTCAGAATCAAGAAGTGCAATAAAAATTAAATTATGCAGTGTGTTGGGTAGGGGGAAACAAGCAGAAAAAGTGAAAAAAAAAATCAATGTCTTTGTGGTGAGGGTTCAGTTTGTGCACCACCGTATCATTTTATCAGCAGAGGTTGACATTATGGTGGGGCCTTCATGCCATCCTACCTTTCGTACTTCGTAACAATCAGATGGATGAACTTTTGTTATCACACAAGGACCGAAGAATTTGGGACGAAGTTTCAGTCCAGGTCCAAACCGGGTGTGCCGTATTGCTATTTGGTCTTCGAGCTTGTATTTACGGGCAGGTTTGGAACATTTCTTATACTGTTGTATATTTTCTCTTTGTAAACGGGGTGTATTCTGTTAAGCTTTGATACGTAACACGTTTTTTTCATGAAGAATCTGTTGTTGGTGTTCCTTGTAAAATCTTCTTCATTTATGCTTCCAGGTCCTTTTCGTGCCTTTCTTTGGGCGTGAAGCAGCTAAATATAAAACAGTAATTTTTCCCACAGATATTTTAGCATTCTTTATTGCCTCAACTGCATCTTTTTCATGTATGTAATTTACGATAGCATTTCGACATATAGGTTATAAATTTAGAGTTATATGAGATGCTTTCAGAAAAAAATTCAACAATTTGAGAAATTACAGTATTGGCTGGAGACAAATAATTTCCTTGGATTGTATCTCTTTTCCTGGTTGTCATGTGGGCGTGTTGCCATTCTGAGATGTAAAAATAAGCTTGTAACCATTCATGTGTGAAGTATTATATATATATATATATATATATATATATATATATCTAATGGCCGGGTGCTTTATTTAATAACCATTAATTAGCATTGGACCACTATAAGGGCAGGATTGGTGACCATTTCATCATGGAAGCACCTAATAGGTGGCCACCGTTGCCTCCTATGAAAGGACGGGCAGTTACAACCATGTCTTTTCCAGAATTTGAACCTGGGCCCATTGCTGCTGCAGTCAGGGTCGTTAACCACTCTACTGACTGGGTGGCATATCAGTTAGAATTTATTGTTGGAATATTATAAAGCATATTGTGAAAGGCTTACTAGTTATCTATATTGAATTATTTTATAAATGAATCAAGAATCATCTCAGATTATGCTAAAACATTATAGGATTGGAAATATGTTAGATCTTGCTGACTATTCCATTAATGATTATATAGTATATGCAAGTGACATTTTCATATGGGTGACTATTATAAAGTGGAAAGAAAACTTCTTTAGGATTAGGATGCACTAGAGAATTAAATTTTTAAGATTTTTTTCACACTGAGAACACAGTTTAGAAGTAAATTAAAAAAAAATATATTTTAAGTAATATCACATTGATAATTACTTGATCATTGAAAATTACGCGATGCTTGTGCAGTGAGATAAATAGTAGCCAAATCAAAGAAAAGAAAATTTTAAATGATTGTGCTAAGTAAGCAAGTACTAGAAAAATTGCCAGAAGCTAACTTTTAGAATAAACTTCATTTGGAAGATTTTCTAATATATTTGATGATGAAGATCAAAGTCTTGGAATGGTTAGTTCAATCACTAGGAAGAAATATCCATAAAATATTAAAGAAAAAGATCTTAATTAACTTTTGAAAATATCATGTAGGTAAATCAGGTATTAAAAACAATTGCCTTTTGGAGAATTTATATGTCAGATTCTATATCTCTGTACTATTTGAGACATATGCACTACATGCCTGTTTTCTTTCTTTCTTTCTTTTTTTTAAATTTGAAACCTCTGAAAGTTGAGTGTTCTGTTAAATCTTTTTCTGAATCTGTGGGTGTATGTTTCAGTTAAATTGAATAATCTATAACTTTTGTGAAAGATTTATTTATATTTTTTTAGGATGTTCACTTTGCAGATGAATTGGCAAACAGGTAATAAAAATATTTTATCTTGTTACATAATTTTTTTCCATTTACTTTGTCTAACTTATTAATAATAAAATCATTTTGACAAACATTGGAAGATGAAATATTTCATGCACATGATAATGTACTGCAAATTAAATGTCATTCAGAGGAAAAATATGTAATTGTTAGTATACAAATTATAGAATGAGTTTTTAAATATTTCTAAATCTGTTATGAATATTATGGGTTTCACAACATATTTAGAAAAAAAGCAGAAATGATTTTTGATCAAGTAGTTATTTCCAAAATTAAGACTATAAGTAATAAAAATAATTTCACATTCAAAAATAAGATACAATAAAGCAAAAATTTTTTAACGCAAGGTTTTTAATTATGTATTTTTACACAAAGAGTAAAGTTTTTCAATTCAAAATACAGTATGCTTAGAGTGAATGATGTTATATTTCCTGTTCAGCTGACTGAATATAAACATATGTAATATTGAACAGCAGAGTGAACTGGCGGGCTAAGATAAATTTTTCTAAAATTTTAAAAACAATATACAAGTTTATGCAATATATGCCTCACAAGAATAAATTTAAATATGTTAATGAGATGAATAAAATTGCGATTTCATTCTTAAAAGTACCTTATATTGAGGTTCGAAGTGAGATGTACTGATTCTAAGGAACAAGGCTAAATGCTCATCTTTCAGTCTGCTACTGAAATAATTCTTTCTAAGGTTCATAGTTGAAGACACTTGTTCACATATATAAGATGAAACAAACATAGCACTGATTTTCTAAGCATGAGATATTAAATTTGGAATACTTATTTTCGATAATAATTTATAAAACTCTTAACTTTGGCATATTTAGAAAAAATTGATTGTTAAGATTGCAACTCAATTAATTCAAGCTGCAAATCTGACCTCACCGCTTCACAATTTACGTTGAAAGGCATGGCAAAATTATCAAATTCTGTTTCAATGGCATTGAAATCTTAAAATCTTCGCTCGAACTAAAAATGCAGTTTTTTCAAGCCATCTTCATAAATCTTAAGCTTCTCTTCAGTTATTGAGGGTATTGAATATAACCTCGGGAAATGAGACAAGTCGTTCTTAGCTAGCTGCCCAGCAAACAGATTAAGTTTTAAGTTAAGATAGTTAAAATTAAGTTTTTTCTAAGAGCTCTAATTCACCTATGTTGGATTCTCATATGTCTGCTTCCCGAGAAAGAGATAATGTTTGTTGGCGCAAATCTACAGCTATAACTAATAAAAAACTTCCACCTTTAACACTTTACCAATTGAAAGCTGTCTGTGTTTGCTATTTCCATCAATTTATGTTTTTAGAATAAAAATAGAGAAAGTAAAAAGATCATCAGCCCTTTAAAAAAAAAGGAAGAAAAAATAATATTTAAATAATAATATATAATTACATATTTCTTTTAATTTGCCTCGGACCGGCAAATTAAAATTCTATCCACGGGCCAGATAGAACCTTCCGGTGGGCGGTGGTTTGCCCATCCCTGATCTAAAATAAAGAGTATTGAATATATTTCCAGAATTAAATTAGTTTAGAAATATAAATTTCAATTAAAAATTTGTAATGTGATTTTTATTTAATTACATAATATGCCTCACAAGAATAAAAGCTGAGAAAATGCACAAAGCTAGAACATCCTTTCAAGATATTCTTGTGCACCAAACTGCCCACAGATATTTGGTTCCTGCAATTTGCTGCACAATTGTCAACTTCTTTCCGAACCCAGCATATTTAATTAACAAGCTTTTTTATGCAATGGAGCTGCAATTATTAATTTTCTTAATTTATATGAAAATTTTCTGGATCTAAATTTAAGATATACAAATTTGATAACATTTAAAAACCAAATTGCGTCAGGTGCAAAGGAAGTAAAAATGAACGTATGTATCTGTTAAAAAAGAATGCGTTTTCCTTTTTTCTTTGTCTGTATTGTCTTTTCTTTATCTGTTTTTAGATATACTGCATAAAAATATTTGGTAATTATAAAATTATTATAATAAGTTAAAGAAATATCAAAACTGTTACATTTTTGGCGACTTTCCTGCTGCAGGTCGCGACCCATCGCAGCTCTAGACCAAATTAAATTTAACGCTGACCTAGATCATAGTTAATTTAATACATGCATATTGGTTAGACTAGATGATTTGTAAATAAGGTAAAGCACATGAGGGTTATCTTACTGAAGGGTGGTATGTATTCGTGGAGGACTTTCTAAGGAAACTGGCTTGTATTCATATCACACATCAGAACTGTGAAAGTCAACTATGAAGCTAGCTGTTTTGCTTAGATTTGAACCCAGGTTGAACTACTAGGATTCAGTGGGCTTAACCACTCAGCATTTGGTTGACACTTTGATGTTGGATTTTTTAAGAGATGTTAGCTTGTAGTTGTTACATTGTTTAAAATTATTTACAGTTATGCTTTTTTCTTGGTTTTTGGCCTTCAAAAGGGCCTTTATATTTTTAATTTGTGTTTCTGAAGAAAGAGGCTTTTTTTTTTTTTAAATGAAGGTATTCAATCCCGCTAAAATTATTGTTTGAAGAATCTTAACTATCCGACAAATCAGTGTTAAACTTCACACACTCAACAGTGTTCTCCAACAGACAATCTGATTTCCACATTTTGTTCATCTCTTTTGTTACATGTCTCATGTATTTAGTCCATTTCATAGGAGTGTTGAAATCAGTCCCTTTCTAAGTCATTTTATGAACTTCATCCTTTTCAAAAGTTCTATTTTTAATGCTACATTTCCTTTCACACTACATCCAACTTCTGCAGCTACAGCACTGGTACTGCAATTCAAATTGTTTTTGAATCTTAGAAATGTGGACTATTGATTCTGCTTTCAACATATCAGCTTCTCTAGGAATATTTTTTCCTGTCATCCAAGCTAAATATCTGCTTTCCTTATACTTGAAGAAGGAATGTTTTCAGGCAAAATGCTATGGTAAGACACATTATCCAACACAGTAACACTGTTTAGGTTGTAAGTTAGGCAGTAACTTTTTTACAAATCATTTCTCATAATATTTTGCGTTCATTTCCTCGTGATAATCTTTTTTTTTTTTTAAAAAGCTTCAAATACGTAGCATGCTTCAGGAATAAATTTGTCTTTGTTACCAGCATGAACATTTTCCTGAGAGAGTAAAGTCATTAAAAGGCCACAGAAAAGGCTGTTTTAACTTTTTTTTTTATTACTGTTGCATCCTGTCAAATTTGAGCTTTAGGATGGCTAAAATTTACCCAGGTTTTATTGGTATGGTAAATTGTCCTACCTAGTGTTAATATTTTTTATATTTCCTAGATTTCTGTGCATCTAGCTCTGAGTATCATCGCATTCAATCAAAATTGACTATAATTTTTGTTTTTTATATGCAAATCCTAAATCATCCTACTGTTAAAATGGCCATATTTTATAAATCAGCTTCATCATTTATAACCTCTTGTTGAGTAGGAATTTCATTCTTAGAAAAGAAATTGAACATTTTTATATTGTTCCTAAAGTTAGCTAAATTGTGTCGTTTGATTCGGATTTGCAACTACTGACTTTAAAAGGTTGGGAGTTGAAAATCCACCATTTTCTTTCAGTTAAAATTTCATGCAATTTATACTTGTCACAGAAATGCCAATCAAATCAGAAATAATAATTTCATTATCCAATTTATTAGGAAAATGTTCTCATAGTTTGATAAATTGCCATTAATAACTGCTTTCTTCTCCTTCCAGTTGTTAAATGAATAAACAGTTAATTGGTTTTCACAGTGAGAATTGGGTGAGGTCGTGGTTGCTGGAATTTGTAGTCTTGCCAGTAATGCTTAAAAAAAAAAAGGGTCAATAATGCTCTGAAAAGTTCTTCCTATTGATCATCAAAGGATTGGCATGATATTAGCGAATTTTTAAATGAAAAGTTAGTTGCAACGTAATCTGTTGCTTTGTGCATTTGTTTCATTTTGTTCTGTTTGCTCAACAGTATTTACATTTCATATGACATAGAGTAATTTTACAACATGACTTTTCAAAATGCTAGGACTATATTTTATAGCAGATCCATACGCTTTCTACTATATTTAGTATTCTCAACTTAGGTTGATTGATAGTATTGTTACTTATGTTGTTGTTTAATTTCTATTATATTTCCTCCTTTAAATGTTTTGTGAAATTGTTTGTGTAAATCCCTGGCTACAAGAATGCTGTTAATTTTCAATACTTAATCTCCCCCCAACAGCCCCATGAATTTTTCCACTCAATAAGCATTATATTAGGAATCATCATTCATTTAAAGTGATTAAAAGATTCTCAATAAAAATGAAAATTATATGTGCAAACCCTGCAAGGTAGTTGTTAAAGAACATGATTAAACGAGGACACAATTGAATTATTAATTCATTAGATAAAATACTAAATGACGAATCATGATTATTGAGTTGAACAATTATTGAAACATCATTTGTAATTTATTATTATAACATCTTTACCAATTTTCCAAATCTAACTTCTGAGTTTCTAGAGTTGTGATTATGACAAGAAGCTTCAATTATATGCTTTTGAATAATAGTATTACTTTTTTTTATCATAGTGCACAATTTGATTCTTTATGTTTTTTTACTCTGTATTATTTAATAACTGAAGGTTATTAAATTAAGTAAGGTACTGGTAATTACTTTTTACCAGCCGTGCTGTAATGTAATAAATTTTGAAGCATACATAAAATTTGCTTTTATGAACCATTTTTGTAAATTAGGTGGCTAAGAGAGTATGTGGAAAGAAGAAATATTGAAGGCTTTGAAATTTTGAAAGATATGGGATCATGCATGTTAGTCAGTGATAAGTTAACATTTGTAGGTAAGTGACACTTTTTATAAAGGTTGCTTTTTGTATGTTCAGTTTCTCTCAGTATAGCTGTCAGAATATCCTTTCATAAGCTGAAATAATGTAAAATAAAGAAACAGCTGTCCATAATTTATATAAAAAAGAGCGTTCCCAAATTCCCCAAAAAACCTATCCAATCATGCAAAACATCTTTCTAAATCTAAAATAAAAGTTACAGAAGTAAAGATAAAATGAATACATAGATTATGTAAATACAAACAACATATGCATGATATAATTAATAAGAGCACTCTGAAACTGGTGCATAGATGCAGTAATGGGACATAAAAGACTTAGCAGACAATAAAGAATGAAAATCATCTATCTTTTTGTCATTTATATTTACATTGTCGATACTTGTCTAGCCCAATGTTAACAATCGAATTTGTAATGCTTTGGCTGATGAGCAAGTTATAAGTAAGATAGTATACTTGATTGCTAAGACTAACTTATTTTTTTTTTTTACTCTAAACCTTTTGAACAGTTCATAGGCACTCAACTATCTTGCAAAGCTGTCTGAAACCTTATGCCATATTTTAGGTAGTTGTCTCTCTCAGGAATCATTGCACAAAACAAATGCTGAACAATACTTTGCTTTTCATCTTTTGTTGTAAAAGTAAAAATCCCTTTTTTTGATTATCTTTGTTAGCCAAAGAAGGTAACAATTTATAAAAAAATTAAATGAAATTGAATTGAAGCCCTATTTTTTTAATGCTTGTTTTATTTCATAGGATATATATTTAATTAATAAATTGTGCTTTTGAACCTATTTTGTAATTTTCTGTAATGTGTCAGTGATATGAAGAGACCTGTTATTGAAACATTATAAACAAAAATATAAAATATTTTAAGTTGTGTACAACAGTTATTCATGTAAAAGTTATGAAAATATAAAGAAGGATATTCACATATAAAAATCATGCTTAAGTTTGCATGTAATAAAAGATGTATTAACATCTTTGAACTTGATGTGTATTTTATGATGCGTCTAAATGTTGATAGTGATTAGCATATTCCTGCATATTTACCACTATGAAACTTCTGAAATGAGCTGATTTTATAATGCAGTTATTTAATTGTTATATTTGGGAAGGACATTTTTTGCAACTTGCTAAGCTGCATACTGACAGCTTTTTCTCTTATAATACTCCCCCCAGCTGATCATTACTTTGACTTAAACATGCTTTATTTTGGAAGCTAAGTATGTCATTTTCTATAAAATCTTGTGTTCTTGAATTAAGCTATCCTTATATATATTTATTACAAGAAAAGAAAAGGAAGGAGGACTTTGCAGTTTTTGTATTTTTTTTAAATTGTGTCTCAGTTTAAATTTTACATTGATACCATTTCTAAGAATCTTTCAACATCCATCCTTACATTAGGAAAATCACATTTTCTAAAATTATCATAAACCTCCACATTTATATGATTTTGGATTCCAAATGACTGCCATATTTGCAAAGGGGGTATTTCATCTGAACTTTTCGAAGCCTTCATTTTAAGACACATGGTGTATTTACTATATTTTGAAACTTAATGATCTCAGGGTTTCTCACAATTTTAATTTTCGCTGTTCTATGAATTTACCTTAATTCAGTTCGGTAGAAGCTCATGTATATGCATTTTTTATATAAAATTTTTATATTTCAAAAACCATAGCATCATGCCTGCTGTTTCTAGAATGAATAAAGTTTGAAATTTTTGTGTATCTGCATTATGGGTTATTTGAAAAGTTTTATGTTTTTTTGATTATAAATACAAATAAAGCAGTACAGGAACATAAAAAGCTACCATTGAATCAAAAAAAAAAAAAAAAAAAAAAAAAAAAAAAAAAAAACAATTGTATTCTTTTGACTTTTTTTTGCCATCTCTTGAGCAATTTCAAAATTCTCCCATTTTTACTTCCCTGTATGAAATAAAGGAAGTATTGTAATAGCAAAAAATTTCGGTTATGGTATTTTAACGAAAATATCCATTTGAATGATGTTTTTGCATTACATCTGTATGTACGAATAGAACAAAGGACTCTTTCCCCCAAAACAGATTGTGAAACAGGTTCAGAAGAGTTTTTTTGTGTGTGTGTGATAGTTGTACATACATATGTACATCGCATAACTCAAGAACGAGTAGCCTCAGAACGTTGAAATTTTGTATATCGAGCTGCTGTAACAAGTAGATGTGCACCTTCTTTTTTGGTTGTAATCAACCACACCAAAAAGCATATTATATATATAGATATATACCCACTTTGTTACTTGGCTGGGTGAGGTAAGTGTTTTTTATTCTTATTTGTTGGAAAATTTAGCCTTTTTTTTAATTATATTGTTCTTATGCCTTTATTTAATCTGCATGTAATAGTTGTAGAATTATCAACAATTTAAAAAGTGTTTAAGTTCCACTAAGCATAACAGCGCCGCCATTTGTTTACATTTGAAACTTAGTATCAGAATGAATTATGTCAGCCATCTGCACCAACTTCAGTGTCTTTTTGCTGAGTAGGGCCCAAAGTTTTTTTTGCACCGAAAGAAAATCTGTCTTTCTGCCTAATTTTAACTGTGAATTTTTTTTAATTGAGTTTTAACCCTATTTGGTGTTTTAGGTTTTTCTGTGTTTTACGATTTTTAATGAAGATGATTTGAGTTTTTATGTATTTTTTAAGTATTAAATGAAATGCAGCAGGGGAAAAAAAAAAAAAAAAAAAGTGCATAATTTAATAGGTTATACATGGAGGTCATGGTGTCCACATCAGATAATTTTTTAAAGTCATCAAGTTTATTCGTAAAGAAGTTAACGATGTTCTGTTTTTGCTTATTACGTGCTCCGCCCTTAGGCACTACACGGAAAGGGAGGGGATGCCCCGTGGAGGTCTTTTTAAGGGAAACTGGTTCGTATCCACGTTACACATGGGGAAACCACGAAAACGCCCATGCAGCCGGTCCGTTCGCCGGGATTCGAACCCCGAAACAATGTTCTGTTTGACAGTCTCCTAAGAAATGAACTCTAGGCCATTCAGAGAATTCTGAATAGCTTGAAATTCTGAGAGAGCAAGATATACTGAAAATGGTCAATTTCACAAAACATATTAGCCATAGTCAGTAAGTCTTTATTTGACTTTCATCAAAATGTGCGATTAAGTAGTGACTTGATGGAAGACCACATCTTGAAAATTGCTTTGATTTCTGCTTTCAAAACTGCCATTTGGGACAGTATTTATTATCTGATTTGGTGGTAAAAATTCGTAGTATACAATTTTTTTGTAGTCCACCAAAACCGAAATATTACTTTTTTGGGATGCTCTCTCTCTTTCGTTGTGCTACTAAAGGAGCCATTTGTTTACATAAGGAGGTTCTTTTTTCTAAAGGAGATTCTTTTGGCTTACTCCATGATTTTTTTCTGTTAACATTACAGTATCCAATTCCCATCCCTAGTGTTGAGCCACTTAATTTGTTATAGTAAAGAATCACATGCTGAAAGTTAAGCAAGCACATATAAGTTTTGCTAAAATATGGGAAACTTTCGCATAATAGCAACTTACATACAAAATCTTAAAATACAAATTACATGCAAATTCTTAAACTTATTATGCACTTTTTTTAATATTTATTCGGTCTGATTGTTCTTGAACTGTATGACGTGGATTTTCAGTGATACTGCTTTTAATAGGTCCTTGTTTACAGAGGATGGTCATCCAGAGTAGGCATCTTCTTTGAAGCTTAAACTTTTATGCATGATACCTTCAAACTGCGCTATCAGGAACAACCTTTTTTCCATACATAGCACAAATTTTAAAGCAGTTTCTTTTCTCTCTCTCTCTCTCTCTCTGTCTCTTTTTTTTTTTTTTTTTTAAATAAAAGAGCCTAATATGACAAAAATAAACATTTAGAATCTTCATTCTTAGTACTGCACTAAAGTAAAAATTATGTCACTATATATGCTAGTATTATGCAACACGAGCAGGAAGGATTGTATTTAAAACATCTGCTTACTAACAGTAGCAAAATAATTTGAAAAAACATACTTCAATTTGAAAAATCGCAAAAGATTTGAAATGACTCAATATTTACAGCAATGAAAATAAAATACGATAGAAATGATATTGTAAACTTCTGGGCTGAAGTAGTCATGCTAATAAAGATGAAAACAAAAGTACCCAGTATTGACAAAATTGATTGAATTTGTTTTGGCTTTCTTCCATGGACCCATTATTGAAAATGCCTCTAATGATAAGGGCGATATTAAGATACAGTGTAGAACATACTTGGATACTGGAAGCCTAGATGCTGTGAAATATTATTTAATCTGTTAACTGGGTATGACGAAATTTTTCGTCATGCTAGGAAGATTATTTCAATGGGCATGATGAAATTTTTCGTCATGCTGGGAAGACTATTTCAAGGGGCATGACGAAATTTTTCTTACATTTTTTTTGCAATATGTCACTTGACCGTTGTTCAAGAAAAATCGATCAATGGAAACACTTGTCCGCTCATAAATTGTGATAACACTCCTAATTTGCACAACTTAATTTCATTTTAGTCTGCATTTCAGTATTTTACATATTAGTAATAACTTGTTGATTTGAGTAATAGTTAATTTTTTATAAATATGGCTAAAAATTATTGTGAAGCAGAAAATATTTTTGAATTGTCTGAAAGTGACGATGAAATATTGCCCGGGAGGTTTGGTAAACGACGTCGAATTCTAAGAATAAGTACCAGTTCGGAAGAAAGCGATAACGACTTCTTTACTGATGGTCCGGACATTGAATCAAAGGATGATGATATTATAGACCAAAATACTCAACCGACATCAGCTGAATGGAAATGTGAAAGAATATTGCGATTGCCTTTCCCGTTTTTATCTCAATCTAGACTTGCATTTGAAGAACGTGAAGAAAAGGATTGCCTTTTTTTATTTCGAGAAATTTATCGATGAGAATTTTGTAGAAATTATTGTGGAACAATCAAACAAATACGCCAGACAGTTTTTTGAAAAAAATACTTCCATGAAACCGCGTTCAAGATGTCTCTCGTGGGTTGACACAGATGACCGAGAGATGAGAGTATTTATTTTTTTACTAATTTTGCAAGGAATAATAGGAAAACCTTCTTATCGGCTTTATTTCACAAAGCGAGAAAGTCTGGAGACTCCATTTTTTTATAAAATTATGTCAGAAAAAAGATTCCAACTGTTAGTAAAATTTTTACATTTTAGTGATAACAATGCTTTCGATCTAAAAGTGTGCAACAAAAAAACCTACAAAATCGATTCCATTTTGAACTATTTGAGAAACAAATTCAAGGTGTTATACGTACCAGATAAGGAAATATCTGTAGATGAGTCTCTCTTTTGCTATGGAAAGGAAGACTGTCTTGGAAACAGTACATTCCATCGAAAAGAAGTCGATTTGGTGTTAAATTGTATAAGATATGTGAAAGTAAATCCGGATACATAATTTCATTATATATACAGGTAAAGACACGCAGTATGGTTCGAACTATCCAGAAGAACAGGGACCAAATCGTATTGTTCTTGAATTGTGCCACGATTTGTTGGATAAGGGATATACGCTATATCTCGATAATTGGTATACTAGTACTGATCTAGCTGAGAAGATGTGCAGAAGAAAAACCGATGTTGTAGGAACAATGCGAAAAAATAGAAAGGGAATACCATCTGATATCAAAAATTGTGTTTTGAAAAAAGATGAACATATTGCTAGGTACAGAGACAAAATAATGATTATGAAGTGGAAAGACAAAAAGGATGTAATTATATTGAGTACTATCCACGACAATAAATTTGTAGAAATAGAAAAACGAAGGAAACGACATCAAAACCAGAAGTTATCGCTGACTACTACAACAAAAATATGGGAGGAGTTGATCTTGCTGACGGACAAATGAAAACTTATGAAATCGCTAGAAACCAAGTAAAAAAGTATTACTATAAGATATTTTTACATGCACTAGACATGGTGTGTTTGAATGCATATCTTTTATACAAGAAAGATGGCGGTCACCTAGATAGGCTTCATTTCCTTATCGAAACTGTAGAAAAAGGTGTTGAAAAATATAGAGACGGATCGCAGTTGCCATCTACTAGTACAGGACGATCATCTTTGACACCAAAACCATCTCGACTCTTTGAAAGACATTTTGCAGACTATATACCATCCGACTCTTCAAGAGTAAATGTAACGAGGAGATGCAAATTATGCTATTCCAAAGGTCTTAGGAAAGAATCGAGATTTTGGTGTCTCGACTGCAGTGTTGCTTTGTGTATGCCGCATTGCTTTAGGGGAGTATCATACGAAATAATTGTTTAAATTCGTTCAATTAATTTTTTTTTTCCGGATTAAAAATGTTTAATTTTAATATTTAATCATTAAATATTTTAAAAGCGATTTTCTTTTATTTATTCCTTGTGATGTGCTGAAATTACTGCAAAGGAAAGTCCCCATTGTGAAACGATTTTACTGAAAGCTTATTCCCCAGTTAACAGATTAAATGCATGTGAAACTTTTGGATCAGAAAATCCCTTCAGGCCCTGGTGAAGATTTTAGGAATAGTTTATTGAATCATTCTATTCCTAATAGAGGCTCCTCATCTCCCAACACCTGTTAATATGCATATCTCTATCTAATACTTGAAGGTTTAAGTCATTGTTTGCATCAAAACAATTTGCTGATCATCAGTTCTTAGCAACAAAAAATATAAATGCATCAATTCTAAGAATTTAGCAATTGATTAAAAAAAGTTGAGATTTTAAAAAGATAAGTAACTTTATAGATGGAAGTAGTGAAACAAAATAACATGGAATACATTAAAAAACACTATACCTTTTCCTTCACTGATGTGTTTGAGAATTTGTATATGCATGTGTATTGTGTTAATGGTCTGAATTACTTAAATTATATTAGATTTTTACTTCAAGAGAGATATCAGTATTTTTGAAATGGAATCACAGTCACTCCTGTATAGTGTAACAGTGAAAAAACTTAATAACACACTTTCTTAAAATCATTTTTTTCCTAAAACTTTCCTTATTACTACATCATTATAAACATAATATTCTAATGTAGTATTTAGCACCTGATGTTACATATTAAATTACTTGTTTTGAGTTTGTGGAAGTATGCTCTACATAATATACGTGTAAATAAAATAATTGCATTAAAATATAAAAAAACAAATAAAATTATGGTAAAAATATATTTATGGGTACCCCTTGGTGAAAATTGATGATTTTTGGAAGTACATGGATATAAAGTTTGTGCAATTCTTTGACTTGTTATTTTGTCTTTGTTGAGTGGCAATTTTTGGATAACAAGTCAAAGAATTGCACAAACTCTGTATCCTGTACACATTGACCTATTTTCACTTAAAAAAGCATCAGAGAATTGCACAATTTTGGCATTGCGCAACTCCCTTGACTTTATCTATGTATACATTGACCTATTTTCACTTGAAAAACATCAGTAAATTGCACAAACTTGGCATTGCGCACTCCCTTGACTTTGTCCATGCACACATCGATCTATACTCACTTAAAAAGTCAAAGGAGCAGCCAACAAAAAATATATAATCTCATTAAACTATATTTTAAATCAAGCAATCAAATAACATAAAAAATGAAATTCATCTTAGCAGTACACAAAGGAAATATCCACTTACCTTATTTAAAAATTTCCCTTTCTTTAGGCAAACAAAATTCCTTAACAGCATCCAAAAACTTCCTAAAATTACCTGAACTAGAATCTGTATACTGGTGACACCACATAAATTCACAAAAATAACAGTCAAAAATATCCTTCATAGTGCCAAGGAAGCCTTCATTTACACACCACTCAATGCTCTTTTCCCCTTTCATTCCAAATCATACAGAAACTTCAAATTAATCTTACCCGCATTCAGCCATTCTACCATCTAAACCACAAAACAAGCAATGTACTTCCTAACCAACACACACCACACCTTACAAATCTTTTCTCATAATTCAAAATTTACCGCAATCACGCAACCAATTACATCATAATAGGGTTTTCCATAACATTCAACTACTCAGATTACCATAAATGAAACAACAACTTCGCAATAACACAAGGGTCCTTCAGTCTACTCTAACCAAAATTACATAAAGGAGAGTAAAGAATGTGTAGACTTATAAATAGCTGAGATAATGATGCTTTGAAGTAAGTTGAATTATTATTATTATTTGGAAGTAATATTATTGACAATGTTTTGAAGCTTAAAAATAACTTTCTTTCCTTTTACAGGAAAATACTGTGAATTTCATAAACTTTATAGTGAAAATGAATATAAATTATCAGCTTCATTATTATTATCTTTAATATCATCTGGATTGGCACCTCCCAAGTAAGTGTATCCAAATATTTGTTTTGAAAAATGGCTCTTCCAAAGCAGAAACATGTTATACTGTTTTGATTTTTTTTTTTTTTTTAAATAATAATCTTTAGATGTTTAGGCCAAGAGATCTTCTAATTCACTTTTGTAAGTCTTTGCTGTCACAATTTATCACACTTTGTTGATAAATTGTGTTTTTCATGTAGCATTTTGTGAAACAAAGTGTATATGTATTAGCAGTTTCAAACTTAAACTGCATGTGGGATGAATGCTCGATTTGTAAGCAGCTGTCAAACCAGAACATTTTTAATAAGGGGGGAGATGAAAGGAATCAGGTTTTAACATTGTACCAGAGGGTTTGTTAAGTTTTTTATGCTCTTGCTGAGCTCATAGTCTACTCTTAGACTTACTCCCGATAAAACGTTTTTCTTTTCAATTTTACAGTAAAATTCCAGAAATCTGCAAAGCTTGGGACCAGAGGTTGTGCGGATTTTAGGACAGAAAAGATAAAGCATAATATGCGGTTCAAAAGTGCAAAATGAATAAGGCGTATTAGATACATTTAATTAAATTATTATATACATTATTGCAATAATTTATTATATGCATTAATTTATTATTACATATATAAATTGATTATATTATTCATTGTATTATATGTACACAGCATTGAGGTTTGCCGATTTCGCCTCATGCAAAGATTTCCAGTTTCGGATTCCGGTGTTAGAATCACTGTTGCTATAAAATTTCAACAGCTTTTTTTTATTTTTCCGTATATCATACACAATCATATCGCAATTCCATACCATTCTGCTATAAATCGAGGAGTAGCACCTGCTTCCATCTTCTGCAGTATTTGCACTTTTTGCGTTACCGTGCATGCAACGTGTTTACGTTTTTCAACGTATCAAGCAGTAAAATCACGAGTGTGTTTCTTATCTGTCATTGTATTAAAAAGGGCTGAAATTAAAAATATTCTTAATTTATCCACAAAATATCTGGATAAAAAAAAGGCAGCACTAAACAATCTTATGAAATGAAATAACAAAGCTCAGAAAATACAACGTGAATCATGAACTTGAACAAAGAGTTGAGTGAATCTTCTGCTTTTTAACCTCGATGCAGATTATAGGGAAAAAAACTTATTTATTTTATCTTATTTTTTTAAATTTTTATATCGATAATTTGGTACTTCCGTTTTGACTCATTATTATTCGGTAAGTATTTTTTTCTTCGATATTTCGTACTCGATGTTGCGGTTTCCGGAACCTATAAACTGAATGTTTATATTCTGAGAGGCAACGCGGATTTCAGGTCGGCAGATTTTCGGTATTTGACTGTATTATTAAGAATAACTTTTTTCACACTTATGGCATATAAAATTCAAAGCAAAATCACAAAATTTTTAAGAGTAGCATATGTTTAGACTTCCCAATATGATGTTAAGTGTTGGCATATGTTTTTCTTTTTATTTTTTGTCTTTTCTTAGTTCATTGTATCAGCATTAAGTTTTTTTTTTAAAGGTGACTTACACAAATGTTTTTTGGTCTTTTTAATACTAATTTTTAATGTTTTTAATTTTGTTTATTAAATATCATGTTCTTTGCATTAGCCATTTTTTTTTTAATATTCACTATATTATTTCTTTAAAACTAGCTGCTTGCATAGCCAGCCTCCTAATATTGTTATAAAAAAAAGGTTGAATATTTCTAATTAGACATCTGATTTTAATATATCTTTATTTAAATCAACCATATTAAAGAGGAGAAATTTTTTTTAAGAACGTTTTTTACTCAATAACCTCCCAGAATAAATTTGGAAGTATCTTAGGTTTTACTGAATGGCAACATGCTGGCACATGGAAGAGAAAAGTATTTTGTTTCCAGCCATGGTAAAATATTGCTTTCATAGATTTAATTCAATAATAAATTATAAAAATAATTTCATTAATAAAAATTTCCAACAGATTTGAAATTTGGCTTTCAGATGCATGTGGGACTTCAAATTTGATGACTGTAGGTACCGGCTTTTCTCAGTAGTGTGAGGAACATATACAGATTTCTTCATTATTTAATTTAAAAAAATTACATGAAGTGTATATTATATATGAATCCTGGGGGGGGGAAACTGCTAAGCCTGTTTTTTTTAATATATATATATTGATTTTTTGGGGGTATTCATGCAATATTGTATTATTGCTTTAATGTATCTATCTTAACTAAATGATTAGTTTTCAGATGATCATGCTGCTAGATGCCTTGCCACTTTTAGAAGCTCCAGATTTGATCTTTTCAAGCAAAGAAACTTATCAATTGATGAAATGTTTAGAAGACTGTGTTTTATATAAAGAACAAGTGACTGTAAGTTTTTATACTTTTTCCATCAGTAATTTGAAGCGTATTTTCGAACATCTGATTTTATTACAAATATAAATTCAGTAATTGTTAGTTAAATGGTGCATGCTTTCAGAATGTGTGAATTCTAAATATTTATAAAATATTGCTTTTTTCAGATGACTACATAATTTTCCCATTTGTAATTATTCATAGTCAGCTGTAGTACTAATGATAATTTATATAGTATCATATTAATATATCACATATCTTCAGCTTTTGCAGTTTTATTAAAGCCGGGAAGTGTATTATAAAATTTTCAGTTTTCAGTATGCGTTTTATTTGAAAAGGCTGTATGCAATGCAAAAAGACTATTAGAAAGTCTATTTTTAGACTATTTGGAAAGGCTGTATGGAAAAATTTTAATTCTTTATTTACCATGAAGCCATTAATGGATTTTATTTTGGAACAAATTATACCAAATTGCAAAGACCTGTAAAAATAGTTTAATCTGTTATGCTGTTCAGAAACTGGAATTTGCAATATATATTTTGGACTTGGTTCTAAAGAGTTAATATACTTCAGAAATAATGCAGCAAATAAAATGTTGTACTTCTCCATTTTGCATTCAAATGAAATATAAACTCGAGTGGTTTTGATGGTAACTTTGGAAGTGCTAAACTCTGTAAACTCAGTTTTGATCTATAGTCTCTACTTTTCTCACATAATTTGAATTGAACAAAGTTATTTTAAACCATTATTTATATGTCATTTCTGAATCTGTTAAAGTTGACTTTAGCATCATTTAATTAGAAAAAGTAATGAAATATAATCACGCAGTGTATTTAAATATGCACAAAAATTAGGGCTATAGGTTACTAATATGTATGACATGTATGCATAATTAGGGTTAAGCTCCGTTTCCATTAATGCGCTGTGAACGTATAGCGTCATTGGTAGAAACGCATACATGGACAGAAGACCATTTAGACTATTGTGTTGGATATACGCGTACGGAAGTTCGGTGGTTGATTGCTTGTATTGTCACCAGATTTCTGTGTGTTTAACTTACAAGATTTGGATTCTTAAGTTATTTAAAGTCCATGTTATTGGAAATTTTTATTTCTGCTTATGAACTGTGAAAGTAAAGTATGCTAGCAATTTTTAGATAAGTAAGGTCATAATGCATATTATGAACATCACTAATTCCATAGAAGCTGAAGTAAATTTTAAAAATTTCTTTGCATTTCTAGAAGCCTTAAATATTAATGAAATAATATATATTTAATTCCTGCGCTTCTGCTGGAGAGGACTAAATTTAAAAAGCAATTATTATAGTATTTTTTTAAAAGTGTTTAGGGCATTAATACTGTCTCGCGTTAATTGGTAGTGAAAGTTTAGAGCTGGAAGCATCCCAAAGTCTGAGCACATGTATGTACATTCACATAAAAGTGAAATGAAAATTTATATAGGAATTAAAGACACAGCCCTGTAGTCATGTTGTTTTTCCCGCCTTTTTTTACACGTACAGTTATAGAATGTTCTGGAAATATTTAAAGCGAACTGGATTGGCTGGCAAGGCTGACGTCATTTCTTGGAAGCTCTGCCTTTCCAGAGGCTATAAGAGGACTCGCAAAAGGAATCTCGGGGGCTTTTTCTTAAATGTCACGATGCAGTAAACTTCATACAAAAAGTTATTAGTAATTCTTTTTATTTACTCCGGATGTCTGATTTTGTAACTGCTATATTCTCTTCAATAATAATAAATGGATCCTGTTTTTACTTCCTTGTGCGAAGCAAAAAGGAAGTATTGTAATCGCGAAAAGTTTCAGGCAGCACATTTCAACAAAAATATCCATTTTGACCGCTATCGAATGCAATTTAAAGATGTTTTTGCGTGATATCTGTACGTAAGGACAGAATAAAATACTCTTTTCCTTCAAAAAAATTATAAAACTGCTTTAAAATTAACTCTGAAGAGAATTTTTCGTGGCGTCTGTACGAACGTACGTACGTACATGCGTGCGTACGTACGTATCTCGCATAACTCAAAAACGAGTAGCCTCAAACGTTGAAATTTGTATATAGGACTGCTATAACATGTGGATGTGCACCTCGTATTTGGTTGCAATCGGCCGCACCAACGTATATAAATATATTTATATATATATATATATATATATGTAATGTTTTCAGTTATTCCAACACATCGTGGGCGAATGGTGAGGCTATTCCATTACACGTTCTGGCAGATGGTTAACGAAGCCGGGGTGATTGAAACACGGTGTAAAATGACGACTCAGGACTTTTCACTTTTAACAGCAAGCATATCTTTATTTTAATTTATAGCAGATGAAGTTAATCAAATAACTTATTCAGTAATTAAACTATTAGATACGACTGACTTTAAACTTTAATACATCATAACGTTCCAGCAAAGAAAGAGGAGCATAGCGGAAGCATTAGCAGAACGAAGGCGAGAAAACATCTGTCTAGGAGAACTTATGACTCAGCATTTATATGAATGGTTATGTAACAGAGTAGCTTCTAGAAAAATGTAGAAAAACTTATGACGCAGCATTTTTATGAGGAGGTTATGTAATAGGCGTGAATGTTCTAGCAGGTACTGGGTTAGGGGATGATCCTGAATTGCAGAAAAGTAATTAAAGGTTGCTGTTTCGCAAAGAGCAAAGCCATTGTATTTTTTTTTTTTTTATATATTTTACATCTCCCCCCCCCCGTCAAAAAGAGAGGCCGGGGTGAGAAAAGCATTAGTACATGAGTGCAGCAAAAGTATGAGAAAAGACATGAAAACATCCAGAACATAGCGTACAAGCTTTAACTATGGCCTATCATAGTTCATGACTTTCTCATATAAAATTTTGACTTTGAAACTATGAGTTATAAATAAATATACAATATATGACTAATTTTAAAACTATAACATAATAAATATGGAGTACTGATAAATAAAATAAGTTATAATTACAAAAGTTCTCAATTTTGTTAAAAATGTCCATTTTGTTTTTTGAAAGTCCTTTTCATAAAAAGAGTTCGAATAGAATGAAAATATCTGGTAAAATCTCTAAATGCCAGATAGTCCACAAATATGATGCATATTGATAGTTCACAAATATGATGCATGTTTGATAGTTCACAAATATGATGCATTTTTTCCTCTCATCGTAGGCAGTTAAAGATTGACATATTTTACACTTCAATACAAAATATTATAATTATTCAAAAAACAATTCAATATAAATAATACAATTATACTCTAGAACATCAACACTTTGACTGTAAAACTATGGCTTGTCCTCGCCAACAGATCAGCGTGATTACTTGCTGATGGTTGGGGGGTGCTAAGTACAAATATCGAAAACCCTCCGTTGCCTAATAGAAGGTAACTGGTTTTTGTCATTGTACATTACCTCAAAGTGGTGTTAGAAAAATAAAAGATCATATAAAATCAAAATTATAAGACTGATAACTTGTATAATCAAGTTAAAGTCTTTTTTATAATGTTGTAAATTAGAAACAAATATTATCCTACAATAAGAAAATTTTTGCTACAAAATAATTCAAATTATGTGAAAGATATAAAAGGTCAAGATCGGGAGAATAATTTGTCTAGTCGGGAAATAACTTGTCGTAGTTAGGGTTTAAGTCTAAATCAGGTATTAAAGGTCATAATCAGGAAAATGTTTAAAAGAGAATTAAAAAAAAATTAATTTTAATTTTGAACAGAGATAGGAATTCTACTATTTCGGACAGTTAACTTAAACTCACTTGCTGGATTAAAAGGTCTTAATCTAGTTGAATGAACAATTTCTGATTTCTTTTTAGTTAAGGATTAGGTTTATCTATTTCATAAGTAACTTCAGAATATTGTTTTAAAATTTTATAAGGTCCTGAGAATGGAGGAGATAATTTACGTGTATTAGGGTATTGAATTCTTCATTCTTCATACATTACTAAATCACCAATTTTAAAATTACTAGGTTTAAAATGAATATCATATCTTTCTTTATTTACATTATGATAATCATCAGATCTCTTTTGAGCTATTTTTCTAGCTTCTTCTATTGATGGATAGAATTCTTGATTTTGAATTAAGGAATCATAAGGTAATTTTCCATACATTAAATATGATGGAGGAAATTTTGTTACAGAATGAGGGGTATTATTATACTCTTCAGTTACTTGGGGTAATAATTTTGTCCATGCTATATTACCGTGATAAGAATTTAGTTTGCATTTTAATCTAGTTATAATAGTTTGATTAACACGTTCAATTTTACCATTAGTTTGGGGTCTATTTGCAGTAGTTAGCAATTGTTTTACATTATGATTCCTTAAAAAGTGCTTAAATTTTGAAGATGTAAAAGCAGCGTTCCTATCACTTAAAATCTTTTTAGGGACCTGAATTTGGAAAATTTGTTTTAAGCAATTTATATAAGTATCTGTAGTTACACTTTTGGAAGCAAAAGTCCAGATATATCTAGTTGCATGATCAATAATTATGTGAATATACTTTTTAGTAGAATTATAATAATTTAAACCACCTACAGTATCAATAGATAATATTTCAAAAGGTTCACTAACTGATGGTAAATTTTGCATTAAACCAAATTTCTTTTGTTTACTTTTCTTATTAAACTGACATACTTCACAATGTTTACAATAATTTCTAACATCTTGAACAATTCCTGGCCAATAATATTGTGGAGATAACAAATTTAGCATAGATGATACACCAATATGACCAAATTGTATATGGGCCTTTTCAAGTAATTTTGTACGTAGAGACATGGGTATCACAATTTTGTACAATCCCTCCCTGTTTTTAATAGTTAAGACATCATTCATTTTCCTATACTTAGTATTACAAACATTATCTAAATTTTGATATTCTTTTATTTCTTCTAATGATAATAAATTAACTTGCAATCTTAAATGTTGACACATAGGATTTCTAGAGAGCATGTCAGCTTCAACATTAGTAGATCCTTTTTTATATTTTATATCAAAATCATACATAGATAATTTTAAAGACCCACCTAAATAGACGACCTGTAGGGTGTTTTATATTTTTAAGCCAAACTAAAGCAGCA